CAATGAGTGGTTAAATTGACAGTGAGTGGTTAAAGTGACAGTGAGTGGTTAAAGTGACAGTGAGTGGTTAAAGTGACAGTGCGTGGTTAAAGTGACAGTGAGTGGTTAAAGTAACAGTGGTTAAAGTGACAGTGAGTGGTTAAAGTGACAATGAGTGGTGAAAGTGACAGTGAGTGGTGAAAATGAAAGTGAGTGGTTAAAGTGACAGTGAGTGGTTAAAGTGACAGTGCGTGGTTGAAGTGGCAGTGAGTGGTTAAAGTGACAGTGAGTGGTTAAAGTAACAGTGGTTAAAGTGACAGTGAGTGGTTAAAGTGACAATGAGTGGTGAAAGTGACAGTGAGTGGTGAAAGTGAAAGTGAGTGGTTAAAGTGACAGTGGGTGGTTAAAGTGACAGTGCGTGGTTGAAGTGGCAGTGAGTGGTTAAAGTGACAGTGAGTGGTGAAAGTGACAGTGAGTGGTTAAAGTGACAGTGAGTGGTTAAAGTGACAGTGCGTGGTTAAAGTGACAGTGAATGGTGAAAGTGACAGTGAGTGGTTAAAGTGACAGTGAGTGGTCAAAGTGACAGTGAGTGGTCAAAGTGACAGTGAGTGGTTAAAGTGACAGTGAGTGGTTAAAGTGACAGTGCGTGGTTAAAGTGACAGTGAGTGGTGAAAGTGACTGTGAGTGGTTAAAGTGACAGTGAGCGGTTAAAGTGACAGTGAGTGGTGAAAGTGACAGTGAGTGGTTAAAGTGACAGTGAGTGGTCAAAGTGACAGTGAGTGGTTAAAGTGACAGTGAGTGGTTAAAGTGACAGTGAGTGGCTAAAGTGACAGTGAGTGGTTAAAGTGACAGTGGTTAAAGTGACAGTGAGTGGTGAAAGTGACAGTGAGTGGTTAAAGTGACAGTGAGTGGTTAAAGTGACAGTGCGTGGTTAAAGTGACAGTGAGTGGTTAAAGTGACAGTGAGTGGTTAAAGTGACAGTGAGTGGTGAAAGTGACGGTGAGTTATTAAAGTGACAGTGAGTGGTTAAAGTGACAGTGAGCGGTTAAAGTGACAGTGAGTGGTGAAAGTGACAGTGAGTGGTTAAGTGACAGTGAGTGGTCAAAGTGACAGTGAGTGGTTAAAGTGACAGTGAGTGGTTAAAGTGACAGTGAGTGGTCAAAGTGACAGTGAGTGGTTAAAGTGACAGTGAGTGGTTAAAGTGACAGTTAGTGGTTAAAGTGACAGTGAGCGGTTAAAGTGACAGTGAGTGGTTAAAGTGACAGTTAGTGGTTAAAGTGACAGTGAGCGGTTAAAGTGACAGTGAGTGGTTAAAGTGACAGTGAGTGGTTAAAGTGACAGTGCGTGGTTAAAGTGACAGTGAGGGGTTAAAGTGACAATGAGTGGTTAAAGTGACAGTGAGTGGTTAAAGTGACAATGAGTGGTTAAAGTGACAGTGAGTGGTTAAAGTGACAGTGAGTGGTTAAAGTAACAATGAGTGGTTAAAGTGACAGTGAGTGGTTAAAGTGACAGTGAGTGGTTAAAGTAACAATGAGTGGTTAAAGTGACAGTGAGTGGTTAAAGTGACAGTGAGTGGTTAAAGTGACAGTGAGTGGTTAAAGTGACAGTGCGTGGTTAAAGTGACAGTGAGTGGTTAAATTAACAGTGGTTAAAGTGACAGTGAGTGGTTAAAGTGACAATGAGTGGTGAAAGTGACAGTGAGTGGTGAAAGTGAAAGTGAGTGGTTAAAGTGACAGTGAGTGGTTAAAGTGACAGTGTGTGGTTGAAGTGGCAGTGAGTGGTTAAAGTGACAGTGAGTGGTTAAAGTAACAGTGGTTAAAGTGACAGTGAGTGGTTAAAGTGACAATGAGTGGTGAAAGTGACAGTGAGTGGTGAAAGTGAAAGTGAGTGGTTAAAGTGACAGTGGGTGGTTAAAGTGACAGTGCGTGGTTGAAGTGGCAGTGAGTGGTTAAAGTGACAGTGAGTGGTGAAAGTGACAGTGAGTGGTTAAAGTGACAGTGAGTGGTTAAAGTGACAGTGCGTGGTTAAAGTGACAGTGAATGGTGAAAGTGACAGTGAGTGGTTAAAGTGACAGTGAGTGGTCAAAGTGACAGTGAGTGGTTAAAGTGACAGTGTGCGGTTAAAGTGACAGTGAGTGGTGAAAGTGACAGTGAGTGGTTAAAGTGACAGTGAGTGGTCAAAGTGACAGTGAGTGGTTAAAGTGACAGTGAGTGGTTAAAGTGACAGTGAGTGGTTAAAGTGACAGTGAGTGGTTAAAGTGACAGTGGTTAAAGTGACAGTGAGTGGTGAAAGTGACAGTGCGTGGTTAAAGTGACAGTGAGTGGTTAAAGTGACAGTGCGTGGTTAAAGTGACAGTGAGTGGTTAAAGTGACAGTGAGTGGTTAAAGTGACAGTGAGTGGTGAAAGTGACGGTGAGTTATTAAAGTGACAGTGAGTGGTTAAAGTGACAGTGAGTGGTTAAAGTGACAGTGAGTGGTTAAAGTGACAGTGCGTGGTTGAAGTGACAGTGAGTGGTCAATGATGAGCGTGATGATGAATGGGTAGGGAAGTTTGGAAGGGGGATGAAGTTTGTAATGGGGGAGGGGAGTTGGGGAGTTTGGGTAAGAAAGGGACAAGTGAGTTTTAAGGGACGAACAAAAAAAAGAGGTAGGCTGATTATTGACATGTATCAAGTTTGTGCCTCTCACATAGACTTGGGAAGGATTTATGTATTTATATTTGTAGACGGACATCTCGTTCAATTAGCGAGATCCAGAGCTCTTGGTTATTATTGCTCGGAGAGAAATTGGGCCCCCTCCCAATGGCGGAGCCAGGATTTTCAGGTGGGGGGGGGGGGCAACCCCTCCAGCAATGAAAAATGATCGCAGTTGTTAGTAATTAAGGAGTTGTTAGTAAGGACTTGTCCCTTGCTTTTTATTCGATGCGTGTGCGGCGATGGCACAGCCATCAATCGAGGGTCGAATTCGAACCGGGTTGTGTGATCGGCACCGCGCTCGCTGAAGGTGTTGATGCCTTCAGGGAAGTCGTGTGCTGTGTACGCAACTGCGCACAATTCTGTGAGTCACTTATAACCGCTTTGCCGTTACTCATTGCCAATTATGGACTCAGACTATTGTCCTATTATCTCACAGAGTCCCTGGCACGTAATAATATGCTACACAGTGGCAGTGGGGGTCGCAAAATGCCGATTTATTACTAATAAACGCCAATGATCCGATCTAAATGAGGGATTTCGATAGGATCATTGTGGGGGGCACGTGCCACCCCACCCCCCCACTGGCTCCACCAGTGCCCCCTCCCTTATTTCCCAGGACACTGCGCCCGACTCTCTGCAAGCTGAGCAGAATTAATTTTACAATTCTTGACAGCCCCCGCACTGCAGCCTCCTACGCACCAACGCCGTTTCCAAAGATACACGGACATGGCACAGGCTGAACGTGAGCTGCGCTAGGAATATCAGTCGCGGTCAACTGCTTGATGGGGGATGTTTAGCGCTTGTTACTTCTCCCGTTGTTGAGATGGTGGTTGGGCCCAGGACTGCACCGCTAGGCGATTGACGCCGTGCTCTCACGAGAACAAGCCGTCCCACAATGCGATGTCCCAGGGACGCTTGATTATTTTTACTTTTCAATTAAACGGGGACGATCGAGTCGTATGGTGAAATTGTTAAACGGTTTCTTTGGTGCTAAGTAGTTGCCATTAGGTACAGTACAGGGTGGCGCAAAAGGCTGGGCACATCGGGTAATTTCACGCACTTTAACACTGGCTTGAAACATTTACATTTGTATTTAGGTTTATATTTGATCTATTATCATTGATGATGCATTTTTTTCTGCTTTGAGGCCACCTCAACTCCGTCGTTTACAAAACTCGACCAAGAACCCGGCGAATGAATTGAAGACGAATTGAGACGAAACACAACTGATGAACATTCAAAGATTACAGCGGAAATCTTAAAAAAAAAATCCTCCATCACTTCCCCTTTCCGCACGAAAGTGCAAACATCTCGTTCGTGGTCCCCACTCGGTGGGGCAACAGCGGAGGAGCACAGTGTTTGGGACTTGTGTCAGCAGAGTTTCTGTATACACCCTCCCCCGCCCCCCCCAATCATACGTCGCGGTTTGTGCTCTGTACCGGGGCTCCTAATGAAATATAATAAAAACAAAACAAAAATTCCTGAATTCATTTGAAAAGAGAATTCACTCGTGCATTAATGTTAATGGAAGGTAGTTGGAACATTTGTTAAAATAAATGAAATTACCCTGTGTGATTCATTAAAGTAAATATAACCCTATGTACCCTGACTCTTGGGCCACCCTGTGTATTTAAAAAACTGGCCATCATAATTGTTTTTAGATTAATTTCTCACAAGCGCCCCATGTTCTTGAGTGCAGCCTCCGATTCAAATGACCAACTCTGTCTCTATGGCTTATATGTGCCATTATCTAGAAACGTTAACAGTGACTTTTTATTGTATATTTTAGGATCGCAATGTTATTGACAGATATGTTGAATTGTAATTGTATGCACAATATGTACCGTATAGATGTTTCACTTGCTTATATGATTCAGCATACTTAAATACATTTGCTCAAAAAGTCTAATTAGGTCAAATCTCTAATCAGAATTTGGTGGTGCTCATTGCAATGGGTGGCTACGTGCCAGTGATGAAATTCCACTTTTCTCTTGTCGGTTGAATACTTACATATTTATACAAATTCAGCCTATATAGTGACGTAATAATACAGTAATAATATCAACAATATCACATCTATAAAGCATATGTTAGGCCTTTGGAATCAATACCACACAAAGGCTTAACAATCCAAAAATATGAGATTCTTGAAATCTACTCAAAAGTAAACTCGTGGGGTGGGCGTGGGATTGGAGTGGGGAGGGGGGACGGACTCCGGTAACGGTGCCTACTAAAGTGTATAATGTGTTAAATTATTATTCTGATGATGATAAGTATGTGCTCATGAATGTGGCCTCTTCTCTGCGTGCCTCTGCTACTGCCTCAGCCGAAGGAGCAGCTGCCACTGCACGTGGCAGCCGCACGTCCGACCGGTGCCCTGAGCACGGTGCTGCTTCTGCTGAAAGCGTCCGGCAAGGATGCCCGCTTCGTTCCAGACAAGGTACAACAAAACTTAACACAGCGTGCAGATGTCATCATCGTCATCATAATTCTCAGCCATGATTAATTCACTGCTGGATGAAGGCATCCTCAAGCTGATGCCATCACTCACGACCTTGCGATGAAATAGTGCACCTTGCACCTACACACGAGATGATTTCATCACTCCATCTCCTCCTTGGAGGTGGTCCTCTCAGATGAGTTGCGTTCCATCACTTCATGGCGGTATTGGGGAGCTGTAGTGCTATGGTTCGTGCACTGCGCTATGAACCCAGCGCCCCGGAGTAGATTCCCGCTCATAACTGATATCAGCGGGCCTCTCATAAGTGGAGAGACAAAGGTGGCCAGGCGTGGTGTTGGCCACGGACCCCCTAGTGTGCCTTGCCGGTCGTCATAGGTGCTTTGTAGAATGCGTCTGCTTCGAAACTAAACCGACACCAATTATTTTACCAGGTAAGGCCCACTGAGCTATATAGCTCTTTTTCAGAAGCGACCTGGCCACAAAAGAAAGCTCAATGAAGTAGTTTATCAAATCGAAATGTATTGCAGCCAAATACTCCGAATGCATGTTGCTAAATATGGAGGCAAAAAACCGGAGGACCCGGAAGAAAAAATACCCACTCGGCGACGGGGAGTGAGAGCCGCACACTCCAAATATACAACAGGCGTCAGGGTCGGGATCAAACCCAATGACCTCCCTGCATACCAGGCGAGGTAGCTAACATCTCACCACGTCGGCGCTCCGATTCCTAGCTCGGCGCCTATGGATGCGGCGGCAAACGAAGGCGGACGGCACGCTCGTCACGTGGCCCCCCAGTGCGTGTGTCGTCACGAGGCCCCCCGTGCGTGTGTCGTCACGAGGCCCCCCAGTGCGTGTGTCGTCACGAGGCCCCCCAGTGCGTGTGTCGTCACGAGGCCCCCCAGTGCGTGTGTCGTCACGAGGCCCCCCAGTGCGTGTGTCGTCACGAGGCCCCCCAGTGCGTGTGTCGTCACGAGGCCCCCCAGTGCGTGTGTCGTCACGAGGCCCCCCAGTGCGTGTGTCGTCACGAGGCCCCCCCGTGCGTGTGTTGTCACGTGGCCCCCCAGTACGTGTGTCGTCACGAGGCCCCCCCGTGCGTGTGTCATCACGAGGCCCCCCCGTGCGTGTGTCGTCACGTGGCCCCCCCCGTGCGTGTGTCGTCACGAGGCCCCCCCGTGCGTGTGTCATCACGAGGCCCCCCCGTGCGTGTGTCGTCACGAGGCCCCCCCGTGCGTGTGTCGTCACGAGGCCCCCCCGTGCGTGTGTCGTCACGAGGCCCCCCCGTGCGTGTGTCGTCACGAGGCCCCCCCGTGCGTGTGTCGTCACGAGGCCCCCCGTGCGTGTGTCGTCACGAGGCCCCCCGTGCGTGTGTCGTCACGTGGCCCCCCGTGCGTGTGTCGTCACGTGGCCCCCCGTGCGTGTGTCGTCACGAGGCCCCCCGTGCGTGTGTCGTCACGAGGCCCCCCCGTGCGTGTGTCGTCACGAGGCCCCCCCGTGCGTGTGTCGTCACGAGGCCCCCCCCGTGCGTGTGTCGTCACGAGGCCCCCCGTGCGTGTGTCGTCACGTGGCCCCCCGTGCGTGTGTCGTCACGAGGCCCCCCGTGCGTGTGTCGTCACGAGGCCCCCCCGTGCGTGTGTCGTCACGAGGCCCCCCGTGCGTGTGTCGTCACGTGGCCCCCCGTGCGTGTGTCGTCACGTGGCCCCCCGTGCGTGTGTCGTCACGAGGCCCCCCCGTGCGTGTGTCGTCACGTGGCCCCCCGTGCGTGTGTTCCCCGCAGGACGGCTCGCTCGCGCTGTTTCCCGCGATCGAGGCCGGCAACGTGGCCGTGTGCAGGGAGCTCCTCTCGACGGGGGCCGAGCTGCAGCTCCACGCTCACAGGACGGTAATTGCAGCCCCCGCACCCCAGAAGAAGGGAGGCGCCACGATGGCCTGGTACACAGGAGGTCGTGGGTTCGATCTCGACCCTGACGATGCCTGTTTATTTGGAGTTTGCGTGTTCTCCCCGTGGTCGCGTGGATTTTTCTCCGGGTCCTCCGGTTTTTCCCGCAACGTTTAGAAACGCGCGTTTCGATTATTTGGCTGCAATACATTTCCACATGATAAGGCACTTCGTTGGGTTATCGTTTGTGGCCAGGTCGCTTCTAAAAACGAGCTATATGATCCTTATGGCTGTACCCCGGGGTACCAAATAATACAAAATGGCCGAGGAAATAAAATATTTTATTTCTTGGACACTATTTTTTTCCAGGGGTGTACTTAACTCCGCGACTGGGGTACCAATCAATCCGACATCAGTGCTACTCCACGATGTCAAAACGCCAAACATTAGCATAAAAGAATCCGTTATCGAAAAATTCAACTTTGAATAGTGCATCGTGTAACAGCTCGTCGAGATGAGTCGATTTCCGCATCGCCGACTCATCAACAGACTAAAAATTACTGCATCAGGGACATTATGCGAGAGCCGGGGTAGCTATGGTAACCCCCGGGGTGCTGTGGTAACTCCCGGGGTGCTATGGTAACCCCCGGGGTGCTATGGTAACCCCTGGGGTGCTATGGTAACCCCCGGGGTAGCTATGGTAACCCCCGGGCTCCCGCCATAAGGTTTATATAGCTCAGTGGGCCCTACCTGGTAAAATAACAAATTGTTTAAAAGTATTTCTTTTTTTATATATATAAATGAATTCACCACATATTCTTGGTTCTTTCGGTAAAGTCACGTAGAAGGGAAACAATAAAATAATAAAAAATATAAAACAATAAAATTCTCACGACGTTTCGACTGCAACACAAGCAATCATCATCAGGTGTGAAAACCACCTGATTTTCCCTTCTACGTGACTTTACCGAAAGAACCAAGAAAATGAATCCCTGCGTTCACGAAAGTTTTAAATCAAGAATTCACCACAGTTAACATGGGCAGGTCATCTGTGGTGGGTTACTTCCACCTTCCAAGTTGTCTCGCCAGTGTGGGAGAATAGCCCAAAGGCCACTTAGATTGGTGGCCTGCTGATAAATTGCAGCGCTGCACCTTTACCGAATATATGTGTTCGTTCCTTTCGTTTCTCAGTCCGCTTGTCCTGGTGAGGGCCGCGTCGTATATATTTGTGTGTCCAGGTATTGTTAAGTATTTACATCAGTGCTTGTACCTTCTTTTTTTGTTGGCAGGACAATGGCGACACTGCTTTGCATTTGGCTTCCAAGAAAAAGGATCTGGAACTGGCAAGACTCCTCATAGAATCTGGAGCCAACATAGATGTTCAGAATGTAGGTCATTGGCACATAATTTATATTACATAATGATTAGGGTTTCCTCCCCAATTCACAGTTATGATGCACAGCAATATATTAAAAAAAACAAATCTTCAAACGAAGATAAAGTTAGAACAGCCCCATGGTGAAATGATTGTGAACCAGGTGTGGAAATATTCGTTATTGTGGCTGGAACGAGTCTCTACATCGAGCGATGGGCCTTCTTCATTACACATCAAACAGCCACAGTCATCAGCTGCTGTTTGACACATTTTAGGACATGTGCCTCTCCATGTGCTAAAATCGTGTCGACTAAAGTTGTGCAAAAGTGCACGTTCTTGTTAAGATGTCATCATCATTGTCATCAGCCATGATCGATCCACTGCTGGATGAATGTCTTCCCAATCCGTCACCCTTCCTCACGGCGCCGCGATGCAGCATTCCAAGGGGCGTCACCACACGAGCTCATTTCACCACTCCGCCTCTCGGTTGGACGTCCGCTCACTCCACCATCGATACGCAGGGCGAGCCAATTACGGATACCCCACGAAATTAAAAATGAGAAATTATAGGGGAGGCAACACTCTATTGCAAAGCCTCTGCAAGTCTCCCACCAATGTCAGTGAATGTATTACAGCCAGTAATACTCCGCCGACGCACTGTGTCCATCAGTCAGTATGATTTTCTTATAAGGTTAAATTATGCATGAGCCAAGGTTGTTACAAATCAGCGACGTCGCCACAGATTTATTTCGCGCTTTACTTTCCATGCCATTTCTACAACTACGCGAGCTTTAGAAACACACGTTTAATTTTCGGCACGAAACACACTGGGGTTGTTGCCACGGCGCAGCAGACAGCAGCTGTAATCCAAAGGCTGCCCGTTTGATCTCCCTGAGTGGCAGTTTATACACTGGGAACTTTTCTTAAATCCCCCACCTCTACTCACTCAGCAGTGTAAATAGGTTCACCACAGGTTGTCGACCAGTAGATCGCTTGGGGTGGGGCAAAGTGTGGGCACTCCGCCCTCTTCCAGCGTGGAAGAGGGCGCCAAAATACACTCCTGGAGGGCCTCTCCAGAGCTCCCGCTAGTGGAGATTCGTCCATCAGCAGTGGCACAGGCAAGGCATTGCAGGCCCGCACCTTTACCTTGTAATACTATTCTACTGAGCATCTGTGAAAAAAGAGCTTCATGGCTCAACGGAATCTTCCAGTCTAAATAAAGATTCTGATTCTGATATTCAACCTCGTTGTGTATTGTAACGTGCGTTCTGTAGGGTGAAGGCCAGACTCCTTTGCACATAGCCGCCGGGGAAGGTGATGAGGTCTTGCTCAAGTTTTTCCACCAAGTTAAAGCCAACCCCAACATTGTGGACAAGGTAAGCCATCTACATCTCATAGACAATGCCAGGCCACGCGTGTGGTGGAGACAAGCGTGGGGCACTCCGTTCTCTTCCAAGACGTCTGGCCAGTGTGGAAGAGTAGACCAAAGTACTCTCCAAGAGAGGCTCTATAGAACTCCCTCTAGTAGTTCCATTAGTTCCATTTAGTTCCATTTATTTGGTATAGCCCTCACCAACAGTGGCGTTGGCAAATTATTTCATGGCCGCATCTTTATCCAACGTGCGCATGTTTAAGATATTGCAGAGAGTTTGGCTTATTGCATGCTCATTGCACGGAATATTATTCCACTTCACCGTGTGTTCTCAGCGAGAGTATCCCATTAGTCCACTTAGCCACGAAGAGGCCACTCTGAGGGCCCCCTCTGGCTGACCTTCGTCTAAAATTAATACAGAATTTCCCAATTGTCGTTCATTAGGTTTAAATTCTAACGCAATAATTAATCTCTTTATAGTCATGCAGTATACATGACCAATTAACACTTATATATCATTAGCACGTGTATTGTTAGCGAGCACCTATTTTGCAAGACGCCAAATGTTGAGTTCATGCTCCGTGATAGGTTACCAATACTCACTGCACTCTCACTTGTTTTGGGCTGAGCCAAACTCGGCGAGACTCAGGGCATATTCACATTACAAATTGTTGCTAATATGCACGGTCCAGCAACCTGTAATTTTGTCTTTGAAGACAAAATGCGTTCAATGTTCTCTACGCGAAGCCAACAAAAGTCAGAGTGCCTTTCTCTCTCAAACAAGTGAGCGGCAGGACTCATCCCTGTTGGCGAGTATTGGACCGGCCATGGATTTCACATTCCCTTGGCGGAAGTCTGTAAGGTCAACTACGTTTGGCTCTCGGCAAAATTGGCACGAATGCTGAAACACCAAAATGGACGATTTTTGCCGAGTTTACCCTTGGCAATGTTACCACGTCGCTGTTCACGTTCGGTTCAGATAATCGCCGTTGATGTTATCCGTGCGCGGGAATCCAACTCAGGTCGCCAGGTTTGCAGCACGCTGTGTTACCACTCTCCACCCCGGCGCCCCAGGGTGGCTAATACGACACCTGGCCACCTTTGTCTCCCCACCGCTGATGTTTACACATCGCACCAGATACCCATTTATGGCTGAGTCGACCTAAGGGGAGGCCCAGGACTGGTCAAAATTTCGCCACTGCTTTCGATTATGAGCAGGAATCCAATTCGCGGGGTTCGCAGCGCGATGCGCCAACCACTGCGCAAACGCTCCCCAACAAGAACAAGAACAACAACAACCGCCATCCGCCACTAAGTGGCCGTGACGTCACGACGGTGCTTGTGCCAGGCTAGGTGCACGTCGAGGCCACGTGAAGTGTCGAACGCCCGCCGGCATGGAGGTCACGGGTCAACTGACTGAGATGACTGGCCGATGCGCCACCTGTGGCCCCTACTTGTGCCACTGACACAGACACTCTGGCATGCGGGAAGGACCACAGCAGTACAGTATATCTAGGTCCAAAAAGCAGACGTGAGTTGTTTTTAAAAAAATAAAATAACAACACAAACTGTGCGCTTGGTTGGATGCCCGGGGATTAACCGTGCGTGCAAAGCAGCGTGACAGCAAGGGGGGAGCGGGAGTGCGGTGGTGTGGAGGAGGGGGACGGGGAGAGTGGGAGCCGGGGTGGAAGAGGAGTCGGGGTAGGTGGTGAGGTGAGGGTGAGGGGTGGCAGTGGTGAGGACAGAGAGGATTCAACGCGGGCGCACGGGCTTTCGCGACCCAATGTGATTCGCAGTTGATTTTTGGGTCAGGTCGCGTGAGTAAAACGCGCGCCGTACGCCCTCCTCCACCCAACGCAGACGATGAATGAAGTTGTCCCGTGAACAAACGTGACAAATGTATTACTGCTTCAGCGCACCGGTGAGTTGGAGAGCAATCCACAGCACTGAACATTTGGTGTCGACGTTTTGCTGGCAGTTACAATCAGCATCATCGGGCAGTTGCCAGAATTGTAAGGCTTTGAGTTTAACATTCAAATAATAGTTGTGACCATATGAAGAAAATTATTCGGAATGTCGAGTCATTGTTCAGGGCTTTACTCAAACGGGCAATGGGGTTGCGTTCATTTCATTGGCAGTACTGAACCAGCATTGGCAATTCCACATTCCTATGACAGAGTGCAATCCGTTCAAAGGAAGATCACGACTCCCCAAAACGTGGTTCCGTATTCCCCATGTCATAACACGCTCCACAAAGTAAGACATACCCCAAAACGTTGGCCTGGTAGTCGATAAAATTACAACACCCCCCCCCCCCCACACACACACACGACGACCAGATAATAAGACGCACCTCCAACTCTTGTTTTTGTAATAGGTAAAAAAAACCCCGAAGTCTTGTCACAGAAGGGATACGTGGGCTAAGTTAACCGTGTGCTGACATTGTAGGTCACGACCTCTGCCAACGCTGGTACCCAGCTGGAGTTTGCAAGCGCTGCGAGTGTCGTGGGCTGCCGTGGTGTAGCGGTGGTGTAGCGGGCAGCGCTGCGCTATGAAGCCGGCGACCCGGGTTCGATTCCCGCTCACGGCCCACACCGGTGACGATTTTCTGAACCGGTCCTGGGCGTCCACTAGGTCGACTCAGTCTCAAATGAGTACCTGGTGTGTAAACATCGTCACTGGGGAGACAAAGGCGGTCGGGCATGATGGTTGCCACTCACCCCCTCGTGTGCCGTGCCGGCCTTCATAGGTGCTCGCTAACAGCACTTGCCCCAACAGTCTGTTAAGGCCACACGGGGGATCTTTGTCTTCATGGACTTCTGCAATCCTCTGAAGATGTATGCTCAGGTTACATGGAACAATCACTTGCACCCTTGTGCTGTCGTTGTTAAAGCTACAGTGGAGTACAACATCGCACAGATACGTGAACATTTATAGGAAATGCCGCATTGGGTGTGGGTGGCTATGGGGTCAGGGCGGACGAGTGAGGGTCACGCATGTGACGTTGTACTGTACCCGTAGTGTGTGTTTAGCTTGTGAAGGTAACGGTTCCCTTCTGACTGGGTTCACCCACGCACAGCAGGCCCCGGACAAGGATGCCCTGTTTGCCCCCCTGTACACCTTCGGTGCAAGCAGTGTTAGCAAGCTCCTATTACGGCTGGCTAGTCACACCGCACCCCCAGTGTTGATATTTACATAGTGCACGAACCATTTGAGGCTGAGGTGACTTCGCGAAGGTCGGTTACCCTTGTTTTTCATGGAAGGGAATCAAGCCCGTACCACGGGGTTGTAGCAATAGACAGACAGACAGACCTTATTTCAGCTGGCAAGGCCCACTGAGCTAAGAAGCAATTTTTTTAATTCGGTTTTGGACCATTGAAAGCAGACCATTGCTTCACGGCTTCACCACAAATACACGTACAAAGATCCCCTGTATAGCCTCAACCGACTGTTGGGGCAAGTGCTGTTAGCGAGCACCTCTGAAGGCCGACACGCACACGAGGGGGTGGGTGGCCAGCGCCATGCCTGGCCGCCGTTGTCTCCCCAGTGGCGATGTTTTTACACACCACACCAGGTACTCATTTGAGGCTGAGTCGACCTAGGGGAGGCCCAGGACCGGTTTAGATAATCGTAACCGGTGTTGGTCGTGAGCAGGAATTGTACTCGGGTCGCCGAGTTCGTAGCGCAGCGTGCTAACCGCTACACTACCGCTCTCCACCCACACACATGCACGTGCATGCATTCACAAACGAGAAGTCTGTTTTTAACGCTTTCCCAATGAGGTGGAAGGTGTCCACGCATTTGCTCTGTCCGTGTGTGCAGTGGGGTGACGATGATCCAATATGAGCAAAACTTTAGTCTTAAGTCGTGTTGCTATTAGGGAATTTTATTCAATCCTTGTTGGAAACCGGCCAAAGTGCTCAAAGGGTTTTCCAAATCTTGAAGACCCAAACCAGAGAAAATGGGACTATTTACAAACGTGCTCACGCATTTTGCTTAACAACTACCTGTCGGTTTCCGCACCGCCAAATACATTTGTTGGAGGAGAGGCACATGTTGGAGAGTGTTATTCAATCCACTCCAGGGGCGGAGCCACAGGGGGAGCTGGTGGGGGCTCAGCCCCCCTTGAAATTTTGGGAAAGTCGGTAATCGGGATAACCGGATATCTGTCTGCTGCAAAATGCTGCAGGCTGCCACCTTGTGCTGCCCTGCAGGCTGCCACCTTGTGCTGCCCTGCAGGCTGCCACCTCGTGCTGCCCTGCAGGCTGCCACCTCGTGCTGCCCTGCAGGCTGCCACCTTGTGTGTTGCCCTGCAGGCTGCCACCTTGTGCTGCCCTGCAGGCTGCCACCTTGTGCTGCCCTGCAGGCTGCCACCTTGTGCTGCCCTGCAGGCTGCCACCTCGTGCTGCCCTGCAGGCTGCCACCTTGTGCTGCCCTGCAGGCTGCCACCTTGTGTGCTGCCCTGCAGGCTGCCACCTCGTGCTGCCACCTTGTGTGCTGCCCTGCAGGCTGCCACCTTGTGTGCTGCCCTGCAGGCTGCCACCTCGTGCTGCCACCTTGTGTGCTGCCCTGCAGGCTGCCACCTCGTGCTGCCCTGCAGGCTGCCACCTTGTGTGCTGCCCTGCAGGCTGCCACCTTGTGCTGCCCTGCAGGCTGCCACCTTGTGTGCTGCCCTGCAGGCTGCCACCTCGTGCTGCCACCTTGTGTGCTGCCCTGCAGGCTGCCACCTTGTGCTGCCCTGCAGGCTGCTTGAGCGGCAGCCTTTCGAACTTATCGAACTTATCAGCCACATCAGCGGATCCAACCTATTAATAAACTCCGCGTTCAAATCCAATAAAATTTGTTTTATACATTTGTGGCGCCCATTGGAAAACATGAACACTGGATATCTCAGAATATTGAAGTCAGCCCCCCTACCCCCAAAGTCAAAATCCTGGCTCCACCCCTGATCCACGCCAAAACGTGATTCATCTTGCTGTTGTTCCAGTGCGACAGGTCTCCGCTGCACATCGCGGCAGAGCGAGGCCACACGACGGTTGTGGACATTCTCACCGAAAAGTTCAAATCGAACGTGTTCGCAAGAACCAAGGTACGGGCACGAATACAGCGCAACTTGCATTGCCTCCACCCTGCAGTGGAAATTACACATTAACTATCACAGGGGCCAGTCTATCGATAAATAAACCATAGCTGCAATGTGACAATTATTTTACTGGCCCGAAGAGACGATCTTCCGAGTGAACTCCAAACCACGATTTGAAATCCACGCCTTAATTTCCACATGCGAGTTACAACTTGTCAGTTTGGTAGAAGCAGCGCATTGCATTGTGGTCCGTTCGGCTACCTCACCAAAAAAAATACTTCGGGGCAACAGAAGAGATTGCGAAGTTCCTTATAATGAATCTGTTTCTGTGGATCGTGACCGTTCAGTAGAGAGAGAGGAGCGGCTTTTTTTTCTTGTTGTTTGTTTCAAATGCTCGCATGGCGACCCCTTTGGACAACGGTGACCAGGGCTGTGGAATGTTTTGCGCCCCCATAATTTCTAGTGGGACAAGAATGATCCAAAAACGGAGTTGATGTGCTCGCATACCGTGTCAACCCATACGGTTTACCCGTATTCTTGTACAGGGAAATAGAGTTATTTCAGGTCCATGCGGCGTGCAGCCGTTTCAGTACGGGCAAAACATTTTTTTGTCTATTTGTTTGTGTTCCTCCTTTGTGATGGGACTTTGTAGGATGAACGTTGAGATTTATAAGGACCACGGGGTGACCAATACGGTCTGAATTGGTCTGTAATAAGGTAGGGTACTGATAAGGGTTTAAAAGCTCTGTGCTCCCCCAGCAGTGACTTCGCCACATGCTGCGATGTTCGTAGGTTTTTGCATAATTTCTGGCAGCTTCTGTAAACTCACGACTGTTAACGGACTTGCGCAGAACAAAGCACAGTGGACAATTTGTACTCTCGCTTTCCAGACACTGGCTGGATTTGGGAACACACACACGTAAAACAAAAGATGCTAATTACACACACACACATACAACATTGTTGCAGTATATCAGTCGCAGCCATAATTCAATACCAGCCATGGCCAATCCACTGCTGGATGAATGGCTTTACAGGCCACTGCCATCTCTCACGAACCTGCGATGATAACAAAGACAAAGATCCACCGTATAGCCTTAATATACTGTTGGAGCAGGTGCTGTTAGCGAGCACCTATAAAGGCCGAAACGGCACACGAGGGGGTGAGTGGCAACCATCATGCCCGACCGCCTTTGTCTCCCCAGTGACGATGTTTACACACTGCACCAGGTACTCATTTGAGGGCCGAGTCGACCGAGGTGAGGCCCAGGACTGGTTCAGATATTTGTCACTGGTATTGGCCGTGAGCGGGAATCGAAATCTGGTCTCCGGGTTCGTACCGCTACGCCGAGCACTTGCACACGACCAGAGTGCAGCAGCGCTCCATCTCTGCAGTAGAAGGATTCCCGGACGCGTCCCAATCCTTGGCTGCCACTCCGTCATTATCCTTGACCATCGGCCATCAGCCCTTCTAGACGTGACGTGTCCTGCCCAAGTCCATTGATGTCGTTTACCTGCATTGTGTCCTCCAATCCACATGTGCAATCAGGAGTGACTTAATCTCCTGGTTGTAGATTCTCCATTGGGAGTTGTTGAAAACTGTTATCGTTATTATGTAGTGGCAAGCGAAGAGTAGTTATCATACAGATACTGGTCACCGCTGTAGGAATGTGGAATTTCCACCAACGAATGTGAGCACCACACCACACACTTTTGAGCAGGTACACATTTTCAGGCACAAGTAACTCCAAAGTAACAATTTACATTAAAGCCAATTTAATTCGGCATGGCATTAAGGCAGCACGATTTTAAGTATTTACTTTAGCTTCCTATGCACTCGGTGTGTGTGTAGAAATATAGTATAATAGTATAATCCTGGCCTTCTCCAAGTCGGTTAGAAACCACCCATTCAACTGCAAAGCAACTGACAACCAAATATTCACCTTGGTGGTCAGTTGGTGTCTTCGACTCCTGGAGACAGAGAGTGAGAAAGCGATGCCGGTGAATCTCACTGTGCAACAGCAAGCAGCAGCGGCAACGGCAGGGTGATTAATATGAGTCCACTCAGAGGCTGTTTCCTCTGGTGCTTTCACATCGAGTGGCATCAGTGCAAGCCCACCTTTTCCTCCAGCGTGACAGAGGAAAACACTTTAAGCGTTAACCATATCAATGATAATTAATTGCTGAACCCGTTTGGTTGGCGAGATGTTAACTCCCTTGCCTGGTATGCAGGAGGTCGTGGGTTCGATCCCGACCCTAACGCCTGTATATTTGGAATTTCCGTGTCTCTCTCCCCGTGGTCGCATGGATTTTTCTCCGGGTCGTCCGGTTTTTCCCTCCAAATTTAGAAACATGCATTTAGAGTATTTGGCTGCAATACATTTACACGTTATAAGCCACTTCGTTGAGCTATCATTTGTCGTCAGGTCGCTTCTGAAAAAGAGCTATATAGCTCAAGTGGGCCTTACCTGCTAAAATAATAAAAAAAAGTTGAATAGTTCGACTCCTGGAGACAGAGAGTGGAAAAGTGAGGCCGATTAATCTCATTGTGCAGGAGCAGCAGCAGCAGCAAACAGCAGCAACGGCAGGGTGATTAATATCAAAACACTCAGTGGCTGTTTCCTCTGGCGCTTTTACATCGAGTAGCATCAGGGCAAGCTCACCTTTTCCTCGAGCATGATAGAGGAAAACACTTAAAGCTCCAAGTTGCCCTTATCAATAATAATTGCTGAACCCATTGGTCGTTTTCTACAGCAGTTAATTGCAAGGGACCTGTATAGCGCGGCGTTGGATAGATCGTGCAGGGGAATAACAATATTAAGAATAATATGTACCAGGGTGCACACGGCAAGGTACTGGATGTACCAGAGGTGGTAGGAGGGTATGCCACGGTCTTTTCAAGCTTTTCAAACGGGGAGCTACATTAATCATGATAATAAAAATGAAATGTATTTACTCTGCAAAAGATCAATAAAAGAACAATTTCTTCAGGGACTCAAGGGGTTTGGGGGGTGGAGGGGAATTGCCCCGATCACCCCATTTAATCCGACACTGGTACGGTACATGCGTCCTGCACATAAATATCCACACGCATGCAGTACACATGTATGGTGGCCCAGTGGTAACACTTGTTCCTCACAGCACGATGACCCTCGGTTCGATTGTGGTGTTTGTATCTCCCCCCCCCCCTGTCCTGCATGGGCTTTCTGCGTCGTCCTTCCAGAAAAGCAAACAACACAATGCGTTGGCCAATCGCCCCCAGTGCTAAAATAAAATTACTTGCACTTAACTTAATTGGGATTGCACACAGCTGTCTGTGGCAGGGCCCTCCTGAAAAAAAGATTATTGCGACTCAGCGAGGCTCTCCTGGGTCAACAGTCATAGTAATAATAATAACCAAGAATGCATTGTGTTCACATCTGCCTGTATACATTACAAACCAGTGTCAGCGGTGCTCGATCTATGGTGAGGATGACTACGATAGGAATTCGGTTGCCTTTTCAGCCACATCACTTTACTGCCAGATCATATTAGAGGGCCCACACTCTCGGCTGGAAGCAAAAAAAAAATTGATGCTATGTTCATTTTGCCAATAGAGGGCACAGTTTCGGGCCTAAACATTGCAACAGCTTAGTCGTACGATTTTATACAACATACCTACTTTTGCAATATCGTGTCTGTTTTGCCACTGAGTAATTTTCCTGTCATCTAATTTAACAACCAGTAATGTGATATACCTTACAGATGCTATACTAATATTTGGAAACCAAAACTAGACAGTTGTGGAATGTTTAAGTGTGTAGCTAGAGGACTGTTCTTACCAGAACTGTGCAACACGTGTCGATGTACAAGTTTAATATTGTTAACTGCTGCGTCGGGTACAACTCAGTGAATAGGATGTTAACCAAAACATAACGAATTAAATCAAACGCATCCACACACACAAAAAAAACCCCGCGACGGTTTATGCAAATAATGATACCAAATTCTTGCCAAATTAAACATTCCACAAAGGCAGCCAACTTGCCACCACTTTTTCAACATTACTGACATTTTGACTTATAGCTTTCGTAACTGCAGGAATTCATATTCTTTGTGTCTTTGGGTAAAGTCACGTAGATAGGTTCAAAGAAAATAACAAAAAAATAACAAACAAAAAAACTACAATGTTTCGATAACAACACAAGCGATCGAAACGTAGTTTTTTGCTATTTTTTTTGTTCTTTTCTTTGAACCTATCTACGTGACGTTACCGAAAGACCCAAAGAATAGTACTGACATTCTCACTCTTCATTGCCCTGCTTTGCACCTTATTGATTTTCTACACTGTGAAAAGCTTCATAATGCAGTAGTTTAGACCCAGCACAAGCCTGTATTACATAACCAAGGCATTTATGGAATGGCAGCTTTGTAAATGTGAAATACTGACAGCCTTAAAGTTGCGTGCGTTCTTGTGTTTGACCTGCTGTTTGTGTGTTTACACGCAGCATGGAATGTAAAATTCTCTCCTGTCGCAGGACGGAAACACGCTGATACACATTGCCGCCATGTGCGGTCACCCTGACACTGCCTTGATGTTCCTGAAGAAGGGGGTCCCTCTGCTCATGCCAAACAAGGTTAGAGTTTAACGTAACAGGTTTTTTTTTTCCACAGTCGATGTTACCAGCCAGTGTAATTCCAAGTATCCTTGTCTCCATGGTTATCTGTGCACTTTTCAGTTTTCGTTTTCACCGTAAAAACTCGGCCAGATTACGACGTCGCACTAACCCAATGATCAATAATCAAACAATCAACACGTGCATGCTTTGAAGGCGCCTTTCTTAAACCAAGGCACATGTACCTAAGTTATTTTAATAATAATCAGGTGTATACTCTTTGTTTTTTTGGGTAAAGTCACGTAGGTATAATTTTTTTAAAATAATAAATTAACATTAAATTGTGATTTCATTTATTTAATTTTATACCTACGTGGCTTTACCGAATGAACCAAAGAGTATGGATCCCTGCAGTCACGAAAACTTCAAATCTAAATCATGTGTATCTCAACAGTGCTTTCCTATTGTACCCTTGTGAATTATAAAGGAAGACAAAATACAACAAAGTATATGAATGAGTAATGTACAGTAGTTCCAAGCCATTAAAAAGAGCAGTGGGACAACAATCGAAACGTTCACAGAGAACCACGGAGGGACATGGATGCCTTTGAATTACATCGAGAGACAGAATGAGGAACGCAGAGATTCAGTTTGTTATTGAAACTGTGACTAAAAGTAAGTGGGCGTGTCCAGGACACATTGCTAGAATGCATGATGGCAGTTTAACAACAATAATACTTGTGGTATGGCAGGCAAGGAATGAAACGGGGATTCGAGAGTACGTGCAAGCAGAGATAGAGCGAAGGAATCAGCGAGGGAATCAGCCAGTGTGCAAGGGGTTAGGTGGATTATCACATCTCAGGATTGTGAGAGATGGTGGCAACTTGGGGAGGCCTTCATTCAGCAGTGGATTCACCAAAACTGATGATGATGCAAGTGCTATTGTGTATGTGTGGGAATTGAAGGTAGACACAAGTAAGAGAGTAATGGGAGTTGGCTAGGTGGTTCAAAGTTGGAGTGCTGAGCTGACACCACTGTGATCCTGGGTTCAAATCCAGGGGGCCTTATGTCGTTGAGTAATAACTGCACCAGCAAACAAACATACATCACGTGAACATACTCTCTGCTTCTTTCGGTAAAGTCACGTAGGTAGAAAATAATAATAAAAAGAACACGACGTTTCGGTCGCAACACAAGCGTCCGTCATCAGGTGAGAAATAATGATCTGCTGTTGTGGCTTTAAATAGGCACGGGGGGGAGGGGTTAGGGGGGAGTTGGGGTTTTGTAGAGTTGTGCTTTTTTCTACCTACGCGACTTTACCGAAAGAAGCAGAGAGTATGGATTCCTGCAAATCACGAAAGCTTCAAATCAACATCACGTTAAATTTGGTTCTGTCCTTAAGTTGGCTAAATTACAGCTCTGAGAATAAGAAATGTATGTTGTCCTATCGAACATTACTCTCATATGGCAGAGCGGGTGAAAAAGTGCTCCCATCTACTGCGTGGATCAGGTCACTTGAAGTGGTCTCAGAGGTAGCTCATTGATATCCGCTTCTATGGGCTGTTCTGAAACACGACGGGTTGCACTTGCTCTCAGAGATATCTGAATGGGTGTTTTGTCTCAGGACATGACATCAATAACACAATTGGGATATTTATGTTTTACCAAGGTATTTAGGTTATATGTCACAGGTACTCTGAGAAGAGATTGAAGCTTCGTTAATAAGGAAACAATTAATTGAAAGGCTTAGTCCTTGAGATTCTAAGTGCACTGCCACGGTTTCCACTTGTGATGTCAAAGCGACGCAGGAGCTATTTCTACCCTATTCAGATTGTGGCAGCCCAATCACCGTGACATTGTAATGATACACAGTGTGTTGCGGCAGCTGCTCCATTTTAAGCTGTTATCATTGGTCTCCAGCCTGCACACACCTTTCAGTCTGATGAAATCAAATAATTAGTACACTTGGTATTTGCACCAATCTTAAAGTGCAAGGCTATATTGAAGGAGCTATGTTTCACGGACAATTATAGTCTGCACGAGTTTTATAGAATGGGGCAATGCTGCTCTGCGGCTTTACCCCCATTCAGGCTATTTGCAAGTACTGCCATTGTTCTAAATTGGCAAATTTGGACCATGATGCTGGCACACGTGGCCCAAACTTTTGACCAATAGCATCACGGAATCTGCGACGTTAATTGCGAAGCGGACGGCATATATTTTCTGATCAATACACCCGCAGAGTATTAACCAGGGCGGCCATTGAACTCGTTTCATGAACTTCTCCTGCAACAAACGACATTTGCAGAAATAATCGGAATTGGTTTTCTGCTCTACGTTGTCCCATGGATCCCAAGTTCATGGAGAGGACTTTAAAAGTTGACAGCACAGCATCCTTGAATAGGGAGCTAGAATTTGAGACAGAAGTAGATTCCAACGCAGCATTGCCATGGGCTAGTGTTGCCACGTGTTCTGGTTTCCCCAGGACATCCTCTTGTTGAGTCATAGCTGTCCTGGGAAATCTGTCATTCTTCCATGGACATCAACCATCGTGTTTGTTTTTATCAGCTGCACTATAGTATGTATATATGTTGAAATTATTTCGCACCGTATCTAGCCAACCACGCTCATCGGAGATGTGGGGGGAGGACAACAAACTAAACGCAAACATCTGTTCTAAAGAAAAGATTTTTCAATCCAGATTTTGTCATAGAAACACATCACTCAAAGCAGTGCATTTACATCGAATTCTCCTGTGTTTTTTTATTATTATTGCGGGATAATATTCGTATGCTCATTGCGTGCCTTGGGTATTTTTGTATTGTTATGTATCTCAGAGGTGACAACCCTCGCAAAGGATGGGCGCCGGGGTGGCGAGATGTTAACTACATCGCCTAACATACAGGAGGTGGTGGCTTCGATCCTGACCCTGATGCTTGTATATTTGGAGTTTGCATGTCTCTCTCCCCGTGGTCGTGTGGATTTTTCTCCGGGTGCTCCGGTTTTTCCCTCCACATTTAGAATCATGCACTTAGAATATTTGGCTGCTAAAAAGATTCCACGTGATAAGCCACTTCGTTGAGCTATCATTTGTGGTCAGGTGGCTTTTGAAAAAGAGCTATATAGCTCAGTGGGCCTCAGCTGGTTAAAAAAAAATTACTCGGTAAAATTAAGAATAGTTTTTAGTTTAGAGTTTAAAATAGGACACATTTCTATTTTTGACCGCGTCGCGACACGCTACCGCCCGTCGCAGGCTGGCGCGGTGTGCCTGCACGCGGCCGCGGCCAGGGGCCACGTGACCGTGGTGAAGGCGCTGCTGCTCAAGGGGGCTCTGGTGGACGCCCTAACGAGGGACAAGCGCACGGCGCTGCACATCGCCGTGCAGAACTGCAAGCCGCCCGTCGTGCAGATGCTGCTCGGCTTCGGGGCGCAGGTTCACCTCAAGGGCGGCAAGGTGCGAATTTTTCATTGCGGATGGGGAAAGTTTAAAAGAATAATTGGTTTGCCTCTGATCGGCAATTATCGGTGTTTTAGAAGTCACGGTCGAGGGGTTGTCGGCAATAACTTTCGTGCCAACCCGTACATTGTCATCGCAGCCTGTTTTCCTGCTATGTCCTGCAGCTGTTGCACAGTCATCCATATGAATTCCCAAAGATCTGCACGTTCCCCATCTCACCGTCTGGCTTGAGGGCTTCCCCTTGGTCACCCACCTCTGGGTGCAGCCCCAGTGCCGGCCTCAGTCACTTTGCCTCCCCCTTCATGCACACGCGGCCACCCCTATCACACTCTCCTTCCTCAATATGTCTACATATTCCTGTCAGTTTCCATTGCAAGTTCCTGAATTACCTAGCCCAGGCGTGATCAACAAATATAACAATAAGAGCCATTTTTTTTAATTCGAAAAAAAACCCCTCAATATTTCAAGAGCCACAATGCATGTGAATTCGAGACGGCGGTCGTTAATAAATAACGTGACGAAGCAAGCCGTTAAAGAGCGAGCAGGAGGCTGCCAAACCCTGGCCTACCCCAACCTATCCTACCAAGAAGTTTTGAGCATTCTGTGCATCCAAATTCATAACGTGATCCACCATACCATGCTTGCAAAGTGATGTGCTACACACACACCACATCCAGCACCCAGTTAATTATTGGAGAGACAAAGGCGGCTTGGCATGGGGTGCTGGCCTCCCCCTAAAGTGCCACACTGGCCTTCAGAGGTGCTTTACAACAGCACTTGCCCCAACAGTATGTTAAAGGCTATCCGGTTATCTTTGTATTTGTACTGTGCTGTTATCTTGGGTGCAGCTGGTTACAAATTAACTGATAATTTGTAAATTATCCTTAAGATGTTTCTTCTGTTTAATTATTAATTCGCATAATTTCCATTAAGTAAATTTAGAGTGTGATAATTATTCATCCACCTTGACTCCTGATTAGGCGTTCTGAACGAGTCATTAGTTTCTCAGCAGCTGGACAATTGAACCACGTGTTATAAATAGCACTTCACATGCTATGGACGTCGCGGCCATCGTGCAATGGTCAATGCAGTGGACTGGGTGATCCAGAGGTCACCAGTTCGATGTCCCGGCGCGGCAGTTGAAGCGATGGGCCGATGTCCGCGCAGCAGTATAAACGGGCAACACCGCAGTTAGTCGATCGGCAGTCCCCGTGCGGTGGGGTAAATCGTGGGCACTTCGATCTCTTCCTTGATATTTGGCGTGCGTTGAATGTATAGCGAGCAGCAGCGGCGTAACATTATCAGCTCAGGGGGTGAGGCAATCGGTCAGTTGGGGCCCCAATGTTAGACTCGCGCAAATTGCGAAAGCCAAAATTCACCGCCCTAATTCAATTGAAATTCAAGGTGGAACGTAAATGAAAGCATTTTCATATATATATAAAAAAATCGAAACTGCGTTTTAAATCTTTGTTTGTTCTTTTAAACTGTTGTTGAAAACATATCTAATGTTGGTTGTCAAGGGGGCCCCAACTCGTCGCTTTGTCACCGTGGGGTGGAGGGGGGGGTGCAAGGCACCCCTGCCTGCCACACACGTGTAACACTACTGTCGAGCAGCGGCGTGATTAAAACATTTCAGGGCTGCACCTTTACTTGACGCATGCCTTGTGAATGGTTCTTTACACTCAAACTACATGGGCGCATGTGCGCATCGCATTTCCCCTGGGATCCAGCAAGAATGAACTGTCAACGGACTGACATCCACCTCTCACCCACTCCAGAGACGTTATATGAGAACAGACTGAAAAGCACCTGACGGCTATCTTAACCGAGCTCTAAAATGATAAAAAATATATAATACCTCGTTTACATGTTGGTGAAAAACCATTCCCCCCCCCCACTGAAATTATCAAGACAAGCAATTTGCCAGAAAGTTTTGGAAATTCGGCTACCTGTTGTGCCAAGCATTGGAAAAACGCTGCATTTCCACTATTCCATTAATTAGGTACATGCGGGTGAGAAACTGCAAGCAAACATTGACTGGCACGGTAGAGGGACTTGGGTGGCTGGGCTGAACTGTGGGCGCAGCACCTAACTCACACTCAGAAGGTTGACAGTTGCGTTATCAGGCCCCTTATTTGCCCAGAGTCAATACCACAAGTACCACTTTGTCAGAAGTCAACAGTGGTCATTGTTTAGGGGCACCGAGAATGTGGAATTTTCACCTGGCCGGGCCTCAGAAAGGTGAAGAGAGCAGGGAAACACACCTGAGTTTTAGGGTTCCGCTGGAGGATTTAGAGACAGTTGATTTATCGAATGGGACTGCTGTTAAAGACGGTGACAAGTGATTGTGTTTCCAATTCACGAATATTTACATTCCAAAAAAATCCCCATGGACATGCAAATTATATTATTATTATTTGTTAATTGAGGCTTCTAGTGTAATGAATACGAACGGAATTCAATTGGTAACACCTACCCAGTAAACATGCAACAGTTGCGCCTACATTGGCATGTGGTTGCAACCGTTGCACCAACATTGATGGAACGTTGGTGCAACGTTCCGTGTTTACTGGGTACTGGTATCAGTGACATTTTAACTGGTTCCGTGGGTGGGGTTAAGCTAACATGAAATTTGTATCAACAAAAAAAAAATCCTACCTGAGAATGATATATATAATACATTATATATATACATTATACATATTCCTTTTAAGGAAAATATGTTTTTTAAATGTTTCCTTTTAAGGCAGTGTTATTGACGAATGCGTTGAGTGTCTTGGTGACAGTTACAGAGAGGCGTTAACAATGATGGTGACGGGGGTGCATTCCACCCTTTCGAAAGACGAACCGTGGATGGCACAGTGAGCGTTCCACGCACTGCATAGACTCATTCTTCCCTCTGCGTTGTTTTATATCTTTTGTTCTCCGCCAGGCCCAGGAGACACCGCTGCACATCGCCGCGCAGGTCAAGGAGGGCGAGAAGGTGGCCGACATGCTGCTGAAGAGCGGCGCCGACGTGAATGCAGAGCAGGAGGTGACGCCCACCCACCACGATCCCTTTCACGCACTGCTGGTTCCTCGAATTCCATCTACCTTTTTTTCAAATTAATTGCATGTATTTCAACTGAACGATCACAGAACAAGAAGTGGGGGTGATTGGGGCGGGTCATTACACCCCGCAAGCAGAAGCCCGAGATCGGCGTGGCAGGGCTTGGCGAAGAGAGGCGGATGGGGCTCTCCGCAGCACCCGTGTCGTGGAGCCTCTAGCACAGACGTTAAATAAGTTTATAATGGGGGAGTGGGGGGAGGTGGTAAGGGAGAAGATAACTCACATAAAAGGGAAGGAAGGGGGAGGGTAAAGAGAGGACGAGGGGAGGAGCGGAGGGAAAAAAAGGGAAAGGCGTGTAATCAAACGCCACAAATAAAAGAACTCACGCGCGACGCGTGAGCTTGTGAACTTACGCCCCTCAGTATGATCGACTCCCGCCAGTTCTCGGCACCGCCTGCCTCTTGAAACCAAACTCACTGTGAGGTGGCGAGGCGATAACACCCGTGCATCACGGCAAGGAGGACCCGGGTTCTCTCTGTGTGTTCTCTCCCTTCGTTCACCATGGGTTCCCTCCAGGTTTGCCCGTTTCTTTCCTCTCGCAGGTAAAATGAAAATCATCCAGTGTAACGGGTGTTGGCTAAAGCATTCCGATGCTGAAAGATTGCCTGCAAAACACTCAATTGCGATTACACGTGGTAACATTAACAACATAGGGGTCTCATAAGGACCACATTAGACATCTGAGCCAGTAACTGCCACAGTGGCGAGATGTTAACTACTTCTCCTGATATGCAGGAGGTCGTGGTTTCGATCCCAACCCTGACGCCTGTATATTTGGAGTTTGCGTGTTCTCCCCGTGGTTGCGTTGATTTTTCTCTGGGTCCTCTGGTTTTCCCTTCACATTTAGAAAGACGCATTTAGAGTACTTGTCTGCTGTAACATTTCCATACGATAAGCCACTTCGTTGAGCTATCATTTGTGGCGAGGTCACATCTGCAAAACCGTATTCTATGTTAAATGTAATATCGCCTCCACTCAAGAGGGTATCAGAACATTGTACACCAAAATAAAATGCAAAGACAATAAAAATTATGTTCAAGTAAAAGCCATGAGAAAATCGTGAGTCTTGCACTCCCTCCTAAACACACCGAAGCTCGTGGCATGCCAGATCACCGCCAGAAAAAAATTCCAGATTGAATGTATAAACTGTAAAAATAACTATATATCTCAGTGGGACTTACCTCATAAAAAAACATATAGTTTAGTTTAACTCGGATATATTGGGATGAATCTGGCCAGAATATCTTGGAACATTCCTGCGGAGGGAGCTGGTAGGAACGTTGGGTTGCTCGGTCAATGGCCAGGGTCAATGGCGGCACCACGTGGTGTATTCCGCAAATATGCCCGACTGTGAGGGCGGGCACAAGCCGGTGTGAGTAGGTTGAACGTTGAGTTTTATAAGGGCACCACGGGGTGACCAGCCCCTCCCCACCCAGCCCCACCCCACCCAGCCCCACCCCACCCAGCCCCCACCCAGCCCCACCCACCCCACCCTCCCCACCCAGCCCCTCCCCACCCTCCCCTCCCCACCCAGCCCCTCCCCACCCAGCCCCTCCCTAGCCTCCCCTCTCCACCCAGCCCCACCCCTCCCATTTTTTATATCCGAATGTCCGGATACACGTGGACAGACATCCACAGACATACACAATTAATCCCCTGCCTCCTGTGAATTAATCCCGGTTGGACTTCCAGTCCACTACGTTTCCTACCAGTATTAAACAAGCTTTATGCGATAGTCTCAGCCTCGACACTAATGGCTCCACGCACTTTGATTAACAGCTGGCCCTCAACTGCATTGAGCTGAAGATGTTAGCTGCGTCACCACTAATGCACGGAGAGCATCACGCAAATCTGGCTTTAACTTAATTGGACCTCGCTCGTCTCAGGGCCAATGTTATTATGAACACGGATATCAAATTAATAGAATTCTGCAATCTGCCGCTTCGGGAAAAAAAATAGTGATATGAAAAAAGACGTAACACATTCATCAACAATACTGCGGACTTAAAATAAAATAATACGTGAGATTTTGGGCAATGGCTCTTCTTGAAGAAAATCGGTGTGCTGCTCTGTTCGTGTTGGGTGAGAGTTGTGACTCGTGAAGTAATTCGAGACACACACCGTTTGCACAGTTGAAATATTGCAATCAATATACATTGAAGTCACATTTCCTGCGTGTGGATTAGTTGTGGATTAAGCACGCTTACGAAAAATGTAATTACATTCTGTGACATTGATATTTACATGCGCATGTGTTGGTTCTATTGTCAGTTGCTTTTTAATAATTTTTTTCTGTGCCTTTTCCCCTTAACATTATATCATGAGCTCTGCTCCCCTTACCGTGGTGTGTGCCACGGGTACAACGTTGCCAGTTACAGCCCGATTCGCTCAAGTCGTGGACTGTCCGTGTTTTAGCTCTCTCCCTACTCAATCCCTCCCACTTTAGCCCAGATCATTGACACTTTTCCATGATATAAATTGTCCGCAGCGCGCTCGATGCACTACTTGGCAAAAGGTGACATTCGATTGTCTGAAAAATAAAAAAAAATAAACCACTGGCGTTTCAATGAAAGCACTGGTTGACTGTACGCAGCCTCAACTGTAGCCATTAAGACTCTCAAATGCGCTCCACAAGCCGGCAACCCGAGCATTGTTGCTGTATGCGACCACCTCGTACAGCTGTGGGCAGCAATTATCGCGTGTTATGAGCAGGCAATTGGCTCCTGTAATGACCGGGGATGTCATGAGGATTATTGTTGGATGCAAACGAGGTTGAGCGAGCACCTGTTCCTTTTTTTTTAAGCGCATCACATTTGGCATGTCAAAACAGACCGCAGACCAGTCGCCTCTGTGTACATTAGAAAACGACATTTGTCGATTTGGATTCCCATAAGAGTGTTTTTTTTTGGTTTGGGTTAGATCGCGTTTCGCCGGTAATTACAACCGGCTTCATCGTCATGGCATGTTTTGTTTGTGACAAACTTTACGAATTGGCTGTGTCCGTTGGTGGCGGGTTTACCAACACATTTATGTTCATGCGATCTAACCCCCAAAAAACCCCTCATTGATTATATATTGGTCGCTAAAGCCTACGTCTTAAACAGATTTGGATTTATTTTCTATTCCCCCCCCCCCAGAACGGTGAGACTCCGATGCACATCGCCGCAAGACACGGGCACCTGAAGGTGATGCAGCTTCTCTTAAGGGAGGGAGGAGATCTTCTGTGGAGATCCAAGGTAAAACTAAAAATCGGTGTCTTGTACCACACCCCAGCACGCTAAGAAGAAACTCACCAGAGTTATATTCTGTGCATTCATCCACTGTCAATTCTGGAATCTGTATCTGTCGGTCAGATAAGTCTAATGCAGAATTTATGTATCACAAAGTTGTTAACCTGTTGAAACCAAAACTCCCGTGGTGGTCCTAAGCCATTAGTGGAAATTGGACGGGGTCAGTCAATCCTTCGCAAGACCAAGGCTGAGTATCCATAACGAGGCAGATGATGTTGTGATGCTGCATTGGCGGTGGTGGAGTGGGTACGTCATGCAGAAACCAAGGTGCGGGAAGCACCACCTACGAGGATGTGAGCAAGGGTGGAATGTCCAAGGCAGTGCAGCAAGTAGGTGCTTATTTGCACGTGTTATCTCCGTGTGTGTGTGCGGTGTTCTCTCCGAGCGCTCCGTGGTGCCCGAGGAGGACATCGCTCACAAATATTCACGGGTTATTTTCGAAACCCACTTTGCTGCACTTGCTATGTGCGATGCCAACGACGCCGTCTTGGCAATCCGATGGTTTGACTTGGTCAGAAATGTCGCCGTTGCATCAGCGACCGGTCTCCTGGTCTCCTGACGCGCAAACCTCCAGCGGAAAAACTGCGCAACCTCCGGTTGGCGGGTGACGTTCGAAGCCAGGACTGCGACCGCCCTCAAAGTAATTGCGCCGCCCGTCCGTGATCTGCGGGTCAAACGGATCACTCGAGACGCCGGTCTACGGCAGCGAGAGCAGTTTATGCGAACGCTGTTGCAAGAGGTCACACGTTTGTCGCAAACGGTCCTTCGCTGGCTATGCGGTGATGGATGAGTGAATGTTCACGGCGTGAGCGAGCCGCCGTCGGAGCGTACGGAACGCGACCGCGTTCCCTTTTTTTGCGCGGCGTCTGCAGGACGGCAACAATGCACTGCACATCGCCGTGCGGAACTGCCACCTGCACGTGGTGACCAAGATCCTGAACCACCTCGCCAACGAGAAGAGCCACGCGGAGGCCGTCGCCTGCGTCCACCAGGAAAATGAGGTGACGACGCCGCGGGGGGCCGGGGGGGTGGGGGGGGGGGTTAGTGGGGTGAGGGGGGGGGGTGAGGGGGGTGGTCGGGGACTCCTCCATCTCTAGCCGAGGGGAACCCCGCAGCCTCCGTGGTGCAGATGGTAGCAGGCCAGTCCGTTGTGGAGGAGGCTCGTGAAGGACGCCGCTACTGGTCAGTTGGAGGCAGTCGCCCTCCGACAACAACAGAGAGCGGAGGAGCGATGTTCGCGACAACGAGCGGAGTGCCGGGTGGCTAAAATGCAGCGATTCGGCACAGTAGGGGTCATAGCTGGTGCATCTGCCAGTCGTCTCATTCACTTAACCCATGGCACCTGGGTCTGTCCCCTGACCTCCTGTCAGCGAGCCTTCGACACTACACGTGGCCTCAAAGTGCACCTGGCCTGGCGCAGGCACCGTGGTGATGTCACCATAATTGAGTGCGTCCGTTAGTGGCGAATGTCCGGTATTGATATTGCTAGTGTTATCGTATTCTCCGGATTATAAGATGCTGCAAAAAGCAAAATGCACACACGTGCACAACTTTGGGCTCGTTTACAAAACGTTCATGCATTTTGTAATCGGGAGAATTATGGTGCCTTGGAGACTCCAAGGATACTCCAAGGAGACTCGAAGGAGACTCCAAGAAGACTCCAAGGCACCGAGAAGATGAAACTGTGTGAACGCGCTGCATCTTAAATAGTGAGAGATCAAAATCTTTATTCATCCTGGAGAAATCCGATGAGCTATGCAAGCATCTTTTTCAAAGATTCCCAATGGGGGTGGGTCAGAAGGTTACAACAACAAATAGTACATATGAAGACGTCTCCTGGGAGATGATTCGGAATGGCAGGCGTGGTGTCTCCTGTCCTCTGGCCGGTCTCGAGAGAACACAGCGAGGATGACCAGAGTTTCTGCCACATGCCTAATAAAGTTTGACTATGACTCTGACTTTTAAAATAACGGAATGGGTTGTTTTCCTTGGTGGAGGTTTCATCACTAAAAATGAGCACTGTTTGTACACCTCGGCACACCTGCGCACTTTGTGCCATCAATTGCGTCGTCGGTGCGACCCCATTATTCATTCTTCCCCCACATACAAACTTTGGATGTGTGAGTGTTTCACAAAAAATACCACGGGCACTCGGCCGGTTGTGTTGCAGTTCGGGGAGACCCCGATGCACCTTGCTACCGAGATCACCAAAGACGAGATACACAGCGACGGAGAGGACATCAAAATAATCCAGCTGCTGATGGAGTACGACTCTGACATCGCCGCATCTACCAAGACTGTGAGTGCATTACGTTTTCTCATGCTTGTTCTTCGCCACCGCCCGGCCTACCTACTGACCTACCGACCTACGTACGGCCACCTCTCGCCCAGGAGTGATTGGCAGACGTTGAACCATTTAGTGCGTCGAAATGCACACGCTTGCTCGCATGATCCTCCCTGAAGTGATTTTTCTTTGCACCTGTTTAACAACACGTAATCATATTTTAGTTAAGATCATGAGGTCATCACGACTAAATGCTGTTCATACCACAACTTGTGTCGTAATTTCCCTCTGCGTTCTAGATCGCGCAATTGTTCAGCCAACATGTGACCTCCCAGGCCTGCTCTTGCAGTGCCCCACCATCTGGCCTTAGTTCTTTGCAACTAGAATCAGAATCTTTATTTAGACTGAAAGAACCTGATGAACTATAAAGCTCTTGTTCACAGATGTCTGGTAGGGGCAGGTCAGAAAGTTACAACAACAAAAAACAATATAAAACCGATAGGAGTGCAAAGTATACGAAAGCTAAACAGGTTACACCCCGTTTCCTGTCTCGGCGATCTGCTCTCTTACGCTTTTTCCATGTGCCCCACCCATCGCAGCTTCGTCTTCCTCATTGTCTCGTCGCTGAAGCTGCCTCGCCACTGTGAGATAACAGCATGCACTGCTTGCAGCGATACTGAAAGTCCAGGGGCTTCAGTTTAGCCGTCTCTTTGTTAACAGTCACTTTCATCACCTGCACTCTGCAATCAAATGCAAATGTGCTCTCATTCAAATTCAGGATTTTTTTTAATTGGTTTGTGAGTTATGCTCACATCACTCGCAGCCTCTCTTTGCTTTGCTTCCCACTTCCACCAATGCCCCTGTTCTTCACAGCCAGCATGCTTTCTGTGTAATGATGTTCAATTAGTTGCACACAATTGCTTTTCCATACAAGGGTCAACCCCAATTAGTGCAAGCTAATCAATGATGTGCTTTATTTGGATCGTAACATTACCAAGGCTGTTTAACACGTAGGCTTTCGCGACCAATATTATCCATAAGAGGTGTTTGGGTTAGATCGTGTAGTATTACGTGTTCTAATCCTAAAACCTCTTATAAATTCACAAGGCCACACTACCATAGTATGAAGAAACGTGAATCATATTTGCTCAACGCAGTGGCTTGCATACCTTAGCAAGCAACACAGAGAAGGGGCTGATTAGCACGCAGTGAGGTCAATGGAAGTGCACACACTGCACCAATAACGTAATGCCTTTGGTGTTTGAAGCCATTCTCACAGCGCAAGGCTTTCACGCAGGCGCTATGAGCCACGGACACAGGCTGCAGTAGTTTCACAGCCAGGGTCCATGACCTCCAGGAGGAGGTCACCTTTGAAACGGCCGGGTCGTGACTGAACAAGAGCTTGTTTTGGCTCAATGGGCCTCGCCTGAAACAAACTGACTGGAATTCAGGAAATCTTTTTAAGTTTATAAAATTTGGACCATGACACCGGCGCAAAATCTTCTTACACACGTTTGTCCCACTGATGTGGGGTCCGCTGTCCTTGCCAAGCTTCTCCACGCTGCCCCATCCTGCGCCGTCTCTCATTCCGCTCCTCGGTGCCACCGTGTCCGGTCGCACCACACCGCCCCCCTCCCACCTCTTCCTCTGCCTTCCTCTTGATCTCTTTCCTTCCACTTGCACCTCCTGACCCACATGATTTTCCCGTTGTCTCTCCACATGACCGAACGACCGGCGCACAATGGCCTACGCGTTTTTAGGGCGCCGCGGTGGCGAGATGTGAACTTCCTCGCCAGGTATACAGGAGGTGGTGGGTTCGATCCCGACCCTGACGCCTGTTGTATATTTGGAGTTTGAATGCTGTCCTTGTGGTTGCGTGGATTTTTCTCCAGTTTCTCCAGGTTTTTTTTCCCTCTGCATATTCAGAAACAGGTGTTTAGAGCATTCGGCTGCTATAAATTTCCACATGATAAGCCACCGATTAGCACAATTGGCTACGTACGGTGCGAAAGAAGTTTAGCATATACTCTGTTGAGCGATCATTTGTGGCCAGTTAGCTTTTGAAAAATAGCTATATAGCTCCGTGAAATAAAACGTTTAGTTGAGTTCATAAACGGACCGGTCGCGACTGAACAAGAGGTTTTTTGTTTGCTCAATGGGCCTTGCCTGAAATAAATTGACTGTGAAGGCAGGAAACATTTCACATTTTGAACATTTGCACCATGATGCCGTCGAACAATATCCTCCTCGTTTTGATTGACGTCAGGGGATCATTTAGGTCCACACTATTATCGTGGCCATTACACTCGCAGTAATAACCAGGGCGGCCATCAGAGTCGAACCGCGAATGTCTGCAACAAGTGGTGCTACCGATGGGCCGCGTCAACGCCCCAGAGGCCTTACCCGTCCCCCATAGTTAACCCGACGTCTAAGCAAGGAGCAATTTCCATTCCCGGTGTCCCAGAGCAAAAGATTGAGCCTCGTGAGTCGAAATATCTAGGTGAGGTAGTCGATGCCTAATCTCTGCTATTAAGACGGCAACAAAGTCAAGTTTCTGGCACAGCACGATGTGCAACGTGAGAATGTGGCAGTACTAATGCCAGTTCGCCGTCGTGCAATGGGATGGAGCCATGGTGTGACGGTTAGCACGCCGCACTTCAAGGCCGTAGCCATGGAGTCAACATTGGGGGGGGGGACCAAATCTTCCAGGGGTCTGAGCCCCCCCCCCCACCAGAAAATAAATAAATCTAAATTTGAAAAATAATTTCTTGCCATTTCCTGCCAAAAATATAAAAAATTCACTAACACATAGGATGGCCTTTTTATTTATATTTAACAATAATGTCTAATAGTGTATTGTATTACATTGCTCTGTTTTTTCTTTTTTACCTTTTCTTGTTTCATTGTATATAATGGCAGAGATTAGGGATTCATAAAGTATAACCATAACCACAATCATATAAACATGAATCTATTTTATAGCAATATATTGGGGTGGGACATCTTGAGCATATTTGAATATGGGGGGGGGGGATGTGTACCCTCCCCCCCATATATATTATATTTTTCGGCATTGCCGCACTTGCAATGCAGAGGTCGCCGGGTGGATTTGATCTCCCAGTGTGGTAGTTGAAACAATGGGCAAGTTTTTTTTTAAATAAATATGAACAAAGGCCATGATCATCGATGTCTTTGAGAAAGGACATGGCACTGAGATAGCAACTGTGTAGCTATTATACCAACAGTTCGTCAACGGTTTGATTTCCCACGAAGCTTATGGTCCACCACAAGCCATGGCAGATGCGGGTACCCGACGCACAAATGCAAAATTAAAAACTCTCCAGTAGTGTGCAGACCATACAATATATAACGACGCGATGCCCCATTCACAAATACGAAGTAGACATTACAGCGATACACTTCTGCTGGCTCCTGACGCGGTTATCTAAGCTTGACCGTCTGAATGTGAAATTGTAATCGTAGCTCTGCGTCTACATCAGCCACACGAAGGAAGAAGAAGAAGAGGAGGTTGCGTTCGCGGGGTAAACTATGGGCACTCCCACCTATTCCGAGATTTCTGACCAGCATAGAAGTGTCGTCTCTCAAGAGCAGTGGTTCTCAACCTGGGGTGCACGCTCCACTTGCCGGTGCGAGATGCCCTTTCTGGGGTGTGCGAGACGTGGCCAGATTTTCTTTTTTTAAATAAGGTAAATCATCGAAACACGAATCAAGCACGGGCACGTAAGTACAACTGCTCTGCTTCATCAAACTTATGTATGTATTAGTATCTTACACTTTCTCATGATTGAGAACCATAGGGGCGCAAGGCTGCAGTAAGTATTAAGAACCACTGCTCTAGAGCTCCCCCGAGGGCAGGCTCTTCTCCCAGCAGTGGAATTAGACAAGTAATTGCAGGGCTGTACCTCTAACATCGTGCTTCTCCGATGCCAACTATTCACGTTGTGAATTGCGCTCCAGCTCACGTCACAATCGTGTGCCGTGTTGTCGTCGCGACGTCGTGTGCAGACGTGCGAGTCTCCCCTCCACTACTGCGGACGATCGGGCAATGCCGAGATTTTGACAGAAATGCTGAAGCACATCGGCGCAAACCAGATGCAACACGTGCTGAACAGAGCCGACCAGGTAATTCCTTAATCCGCTGCGCGTGCACACACACACGGAGCTCTCTGCGATGGGTTGACGCCAACGCAGACGCGCCCACCCAGCCATGGAAGTGAAAAGTACAAAGTTACTGGGTCACGGGTGCAGTTTTAAGCCAGGTTTACGAAGGGTTATGCCAACACCATGGGAACGGTTATAGGGCTCCACGGTGGCTAGGAGATGTTAACTACCTCGCCTGGTATACCGGAGGTCGTGGGTTGGATCCCGACCCTGACGCCCGTTGTATATTTGGAGTTTGCGTGTTCTCCTCGTGGTTGCGTGGATTTTTCTCCGGGTCCTCCGGTTTATCCCTCCACATCGAGAATCAACATCTCGCGTTCAGAGTATTTGGCTGCTAAAAAGTTCCACAGATATCGTTTGTGGCCAGGTTGCTTCTGAAAAAGCGCTACATAGCGGAGTAGGCCTTACTTGGTGGAATGATTTTTTTCGTTTTCTTTAAAACATCAAAGTCTCTTTAAGGATAAAATGAGCATGGAGCCGTCAACTCAAATGATGGCTCTGAGCTCATGGTGGCTATTCCATATTCGTATGGTGGGTGCCAGTGTATCACTGACAATCACTGTTGACTTTCCACAAAGTCGTTTGGGCTCAGTTGACCCTGGACCGAGATGTGAACACGAGAGCTCTGACACAGCGCCACCCAGCTGTTTACATAGACAGCTACAATTAAAGTCTGGTTTCATTCAAATACACGTGTCCTTGTGTGTGCGTACAGCTTTGTTATCAATACACTGCTGCATGCAGACCTCCCAAGGCTGTGGTTGGGACGTTGGAGTTATTTTAGCCCATACCTCACCGCAGCTGGTCAGTGCAGATTGGTGATAGCAAGACATCTACGATCAGAATTGTATATTTGTTTTAAAAGGTCTGCGTATACAAGGGTAACGTCATGAATGATGAATTAAATAACACGCGCAAAAAAAAACTGCACACGAAGGCTGGTGGATTGACCAGGAGCGGTCGTGTAACCGCCCTGGAGCCAAGGTCGGTGCGAGGGTCAGTCCGCGGCGTTTGCTCTGGTTCACAGAACGGGTGGTCGCCTCTACTGATGGCTGCGGAGAAGGGGCACATTGAGGTGGTCAGGATCCTCCTGAAAAACAACGCAAGGGTCGACGTGTTTGATGAGGTGAGGTGGCGCGCACACATCGGCTGCCTCGAACTCGTGAAGCCCACACGTTAAGCCCACACGTGAAGCTCACACGTGAAGCTCACATGTGAAGCTCACTCGTTAAGCCCACACGTGAAGCTCACACGTGAAGCTCACACGTGAAGCCGACACGTGAAGCTCACTCGTTAAGCCCACACGTGAAGCTCACACGTGAAGCCCACTCGTTAAGCTCACACGTGAAGCTCACACGTGAAGCCCACACGTGAAGCTCACACGTGAAGCTCACACGTGAAGCTCACACGTGAAGCTCACACGTGAAGCCGACACGTGAAGCTCACTCGTTAAGCCGACACGTGAAGCCCACTCGTTAAGCCCACACGCTTTTGCTCATTGAGAACTCGGTACGTCGATTGACGGCAATGCCAGAGGGGTTTTGATTCGGGTGCTGCTGCTGCACGCTTATGAACTAAACTATAATTATTATTTTTTACCAGGTAATGCCCACTAAGCTATGTAGCTCTTTTTCACAAGGTAAATCATCGAGTGGCTTATCACGTGTAAATTCACAGCAGCCAAATAATCCAAGTGCATGTTTTTTTAAATGTGGAGGGAAAAAAAAAACTACCCAACCAAGGGGAGAAAGACATGCAAACTTCAAATATAAAGTCATCAGGGATCCCGATCGGGACCGAACCCATGACCTCCATGTTATAGCAGGCGAGGTAGTAACCACCTCCCTCGCCTGGTTGGATCACGTACTCACTCATGAAGCTCCCAAACCCCGCTGAGCTGTGAGGTTGCCATCTCCTGACTTGCCCGGGTATGACGGTACAGCAAGTGGATGAATTTCCAATTGCATTCCATCTGTGCAGGTTTGAGTATGACTCCCTCTCGGACGCGTGGGTTTCCTCCGAGTGCCACCACGTGTATAAACACTCGTTAATGGAGTTGGCCAAACATCCCAATATAGGACCACAGTGCTTGGACAATTGTTGGTAGCGCCGGTTCTGGCTGCCTTACAACTTGTCTGTTTACCCGCACCTCTGGATTGAATGAAAACTTGTCCATTGCAAATGAGTGAATTCATGTATTATTGATTTTGTTAGATGTAATCTATATGAAATGTAGGCACAAGTGGTATACTGTAGTCTTTGGATTATAAGACACATTTTCTTCCTGTAGCTTTAAGTAAAAGTTGGATTTGCGTATTATAATTTGGTCGCTGTGTGTGAGACATGGTTTTATAACTTCATCACTCGGAAAAAAGTTTTGGAGCGTCCCACTTCCCTGAGCGTCTTATAATCTGGCGAATACGGTACATGTAAATTGACCGCACACAAACATTTCATTACGAGCCGTTTAATATCTACTGCTTGTTGGCTAGACATTCGCTGGTTTTATATATATATGTATGTTGAACTTCTTTCGCAACGTGCATAGCCAACCATGCTAATTGTAGGTGCGGGCGGAAGGACAATAAACTAAACACAAAAAGCAATTGTAAAGAAATTAGTCTTCAACGTAGATTGGAAAGTGCTTAGCTGCGGTGGCTTCCTTACATCGGAAGGAACAGCTTTCCAGACGGCCCCAGAGACGCATCTCTTCAACTGCTGGGTGTTTGTGGTGGAGCGGAGCAATCCTCCGATCTGTGCACTCAACCACCGTCACAATCGGCATCGCAGAATCGTCACCGTGCGCGCAATTCACAACACCGGTATCAATGCGCAACCGCCCAGAGATGACTGAAAGTGGAGCGGTGCAGCACTTTAAAGTAGTAATGCACTAAATTTTGATTTAAAGCTTTCGTGACTGCAGGGATTCATATTCTTGGTTCTTTCGGTAAAGTCACGTTGAAGGGAAACAATAAAATAATAAACATATTTTATTGTATTCTTAGTTTTTTCGGTAAAGTCACGTTGAAGAGAAACAACAAAATAACAAAACATATATAAAACAATAAAAAATTCTCACGACGTTTCGACCATAACTCAAACGGTCATCATCAGGTGTGTCGGTTTGCATAAATTTATTTTTAAAACGGCACATTTATTTATTTATAAAAAACGTTGGCGTCACGCGCAGCGATTGGCAGTTTGCAAAATTTATATTTTATTGTTTTATATTTGTATTATTTTATTGTTTCCCTTCAACGTGACTTTACCGAAAGAACCAAGAATAGTAATGCACTCTTTTTTAAATCTAAAAACGCGTCCAGTTACAACACCATTGGGAGGAGTAAAAACGAAGCAAGATATAAAACAGAATGAGAAAGAGACGATGTGAAGGGTACTCAACGACATTTGTGTAAATCCATCAACACCGGCACGTGCGTCACTCCACTGTGGGATCGAGCGCCTCTCCCACACCCTGCCGGGTTACTAGGCCGTACTTCACCACGCTGGTCAGCGCACGTTGACGGCGGGCGAGCCGAGACACGGGAGCATAGAATAAACAGTACAACGACGGAGTTGTTTTCTACTCACTGCTGCCCGCTGAGTAGCACAGCCTCACAGCTGCCTACTGCAGCAGTTGGCGGTGCCGTGATATCCATCCAAAGTGCTGTCCCGCCTCAAATCCTGCTTAGCTTTTGAGATCCGATGAGATCGGGCGCATTACTGGTGAATTGGTAATAAGCTAACAAATAATAATTGTACAGGGAGCTTCAACAAAATGTTAACGCTTGGGAGAATTTACAACAACACCACAAGAAATGTGCCTCCAGGCTCTGGAGATCACCTGGAGAAGATTCCAGGCGTTTGTTGACTATTAACATTACATTTGTTGTAATAGGTTTTACCCTTTTAACTGGCACAAAAACTGACACCTTTATTCAAGGCATCATGTATGCAATAACCACAACACAAGCAGTCAAAATGCAAACAAAAGAGACAACTCTGATAATAATATGCACTGTCCTTGAATTTGATTGGTCCACACCCGAGACGGCTTTTCTTAGAGCCTAGTCTCGGGTGTGGACCAATCAAATTAAAGGACAGTGCATATTATTATTATCAGAGTTGTCTCTTTTGTTTGCATTTTGACTGCTTGTGTTGTGGTTATTGCAAACATGATGCCTTGAATAAAGGTGTCAGTTTTTGTGCCAGTTAAAAGGGTAAAACCTATTACTATATCTTGTTACTGGCAAAGGAGGTCTCATAATGTAAATTACATTTGTTATCATGTTACAGTGTATTATCCGTTCTTTTGCCATTAAAAACGATAGTCCCATATAAGTGTTCACATTGTTTGTAGCACCCTGTATACATTTCTACATGTAATTATCCATACATGAAGTGCACGCAAGTACACATTGTGCTCCTTGTTAGAGCGCCGTGTATTTTAGCTCGCGTTCGGAGCGAGGTGTTTTTATTTTGCGTGTGTTTAGCGCGAGGGGTCTACGTGCCGTGAGACATGCGCAACCTCCGTGCACCGCACCACGCTCACCCTGTGAGAAACCCTGTGAGAAATCATTTAGGACCTAAAGGGTTTCTAACATATAAATATAATAACTCTGTGTCTTGACATTTAGAGCACCCCCTTGTGACTTTGCGTCGCGTTTCACGTGCTCCCCCACGTGCCCACGTGCCCTCGCGCGTCTCACACGTGCGTCCACCTGCTCACACGCGCCCGTGCCGCCCCAGCACGGCAAGGCGGCGCTGCACCTGGCGGCCGAGAACGGCCACGAGGGCATAGCCGACATCCTGCTGTGGCACAAGGCCTTCGTCAACGCCAAGACCAAGCTGGGCCTCACGCCGCTGCACCTGGGGGCCGAGCGCGGCTACAACCGGCTGGTGCGGCTGCTGTGCGAGACGCACCACGCCACCATCGATGCCCTCTCGCTGGTCAGTGCAGGGCTACAGCTGCTGCCGCTGCTGCTGGCTGGCGAGCTGGTGGGGGCGTTTGTTCGGCTTTTTCACCTCCACCTCGAATCCCACACGCTTCCTCACCACAGTAGTTGTCGTCGTCAGGAGTACCCAAATCCTTGAGACCCCGGGTGGCCAATTCGCTCACTGGCAGTCAGTCCCCCACATGTACCACTCTTCTATCACGACTGCCATGGTTATTGTTGCCACGAACTTCAATCGTTGATTCCGCCACCCATTTTGAGGACTCGGTACCTTTGCTGCCATCACCCCTGGTCATCGCCTCCTTCCTTCTGTCTAGATTCTCCAGTTGCTGGAGAGAAAGCTTGTGACCTCTATGCTTTCCACGATACAGCTAGTTCTTCTTCATAAAAATTTGGCCTCCAAGTTGCTTATGTTATGCTTCCATGAAATTCCTTACATCCATATGCAGCTGTACTCAAAATCCAGAAGCTTAATTTCGGTACCAACAATGCCGAGAGCAATAAAACCCACCGAACTTCCATTACAAAAAGTATTGAAAATATGACGAAAACAATTGATTTTCCATTCAAAATGTATTGATTTCCTTTCCTTAACCAGGTAGAAGGCCATTTATCTCCATTTTTAGAAAGAGCTGAGAGGTCTGATTCACACAAGGATGATTATTGATCTCAAAATGATAGGAAAACTTTAAATTTGGGTTTTGGGACGTGACAGGGTGTCCAAACCCAGGCATTCAACAGGAAACAAAAAATGGCTGTGGAGGGTAATTGGATTTTTTTACAAAAGGATATATAAAAAACAAAGACAAATATTCTCCATTAGCCTTCACAGACTGTTGGGACAAGTGCTGTTAGCAAGCACATATGAAGGCCGGCACGGCACACGAGTGGGTGGGTAGCCAGCACCACGCCCGACCGCCTTTGTCTCCCCGGTGGCGATGTTTACACACCGCACCAGGTACTCATTGGGGGCTGAGTCGACCTAGGGGAGGAGGGCCAGGATCGGCTTAGATAATCGTCACTGGTGTTGGCCATGAGCGGGAATCGAACTTGGTTCGCTGGGTTCGTATCACAGCCTGCTAAACTAGTATGTATTCTGCATATGCTCTATACAATTTATGCATACACCATATAAGACGTTAAAAACAATCAGGCTCAGACTGCAGTGTCCTAACCACTGTGACATCACTTTACATTAACTGTTAATCCCCCTACCCCGTACAAGGACATATATACGGCCCGTTATGTCAATCCACTGCTGGATGAGCGGGCTTCCAAAAGCCTTGTGGGCTATCAGGGATTGCTGGCCATACATCCCCACACTGGTCAGTGCGGCTTTCTGAGGGTGAGCAGAGTGCAGCACAACAATGGATTTTGCTGCACTGCAAGATCCACTGTTTGGGGTTGCATTACCAGTCTTTGTTGCTCTGTGTGCATCTGTGCGTCTGTTGATGTGCAGATCAAAAGGACGCCCTTGCACCTGGCAGCTTTGAATGGGCAGCTGGATGTGTGCAACAGCCTCCTGCGCCTGAACGCAGACATCAATGCCACTGACATTGTGGGTATAACGTGTTGTTCGCGAGCCCGCCACTCACTCACAGAGCGTTCCGTTCTGAACCGCAGGGCTAGCCCAACTCAATGTCAGAACGTTGATTAGATTTCTGGTTGGCTCTCCGACGTCTGTTCGGATAGTACCGTGTGATCAGCATGATGTGCCGAGTTTTGTTGCCAGCTGCTGGCAGCTTCTGTAGAAACGAAATTCTTCACCTGCAAGTTTCCGACTTTATCCTGCTGCGAGATACATTAGAGCCTCCATTTGCACCTGTATTCAAAAAGCCAGATGGTTTAAATTCTGCACACACGACTGAAGAATTAATTTCCTGATGAAGCTCCCAGCACATGGGAGTAAAACGCCAGACCTTGTGCCGGGCACGATCCCAACGCACGTCAAGAGCCACAGAGCAGAACCGCGACAGCCTATGCAGTACTATCGATTCGATACATTTTGTTTTACATGGGCTGGAATACCTGAGACAAAGCTGGATTTGATTTTACAGCATTCAACGTTGCAAAAAAAAATAATTGCTCTCAGGTTTTGTTATGTCGTATCAAGTTGATCAAAGGGCAATATCGTTTCAGTGAAAAATGGTGCCGAGTTTTAGTGTAACGGCAAAGGCACGCTTTTATTTTATCATTACACCTTTCTTAGCTCCAGTGGCTTCCAATATCAGAAGGAAGAGCGTTCCAAATGGTCGCAGAAGCACATCTGAAAGCGTGCAATTACTAAATATGTTGACTTAAAGCTTTCGTGACTGCAGGAATTCATCTTCTTTGGGTCTTTCGGTAAAGTCACATAGATAGAAACAATAATACAAAATAATACTTGTTATTATTTTTATTATTAAAAATATGTATCATGCTCGAAGATTTTTTTCCCCCCCTAGAATTCTGTCTGGCTTAATTAGCCTGAACAGGGGATAGTTTTTTGTCAACACCACCTGTGCCCTACGGGTGATCTCTTCAGATTCAGGTGCCTCGGCAAGAGGAGAGGGTGGAGCAGGACGATGCATTTCGGCCAATTCGTAAATCTCGCGGACCCAACTCACGCCGTCAATGAACCCCTGGACTCGAGTAAAAGCACCGACAGACCGACCCTGACATCTCGTGTCCGTTGCTTGTGCGCAGAGCCCCCTTGCGGTTCCTCGGTTGAGAAGTGTTATTTTGGGAGGGTGCTCCTTCCAGTATTTGTCTCCCAGGTTGTGGAATGACCTCCCAATTGAAATCAGAGAAGGTGGCAGTTTATTCACGTTTCAAAGGGCTGCTGAAGACCCATCTCTTTGAAAGCTAGTTCCATGGTTCCTGCATGGATAAGATGTTCATTGTGCAACATGTAGGGTATTCATGGTGCAGGTGTAGGGTGTTCATGGTGCAGCGTTTATGGCGTTCATGGTGCAGCGTGCCGGTCGACGTTGTGGTCAAGCGGAGTGCACTACGAACGGCGTCTGATAAGGAAGGTGTTGCAGTTTTTTTTTTTTTAAATTGGGCTGAAGATGCATTTCATAATCTCTTTAATATATTTAAAACCGTGCAGACTTTTCATTGTGCATCTCAAACCGTACCGACGCAACCTGTACGTTTCGCACACACGAAAGCGCTCTCTGTGCGTACATTTTCATCGCGGCGGACAAAGATCGCCCTGACCGATCGCTCCGCGTGGCGTGTGCGGCGGGGGGGGGTGCAGCACGGACAGACGCCGCTGCACCTGGCGGCGGAGAACGACCACTCCGAGGTGGTGAAGCTCTTCCTGAAGCAGCGGCCCGAGCTGGTGACGTCGGCCAACGCGTCGGGCTCCACGTGCGCTCACATCGCCGCCGGCAAGGGCAGCGTCGCCGTCATCAAGGAGCTGCTCAAGTTCAACCGCGGGGGCGTCACGTCCGCGCGCAACAAGGTTGGTGTGGTGTACGGTTGTTGCGTCGTGGTGGCGGTGCACGTTGTGTGCACGTGGTCGTGGTGGCGGTGCACGTTGTGTGTGTGGTCGTGGTGGCGGTGCACGTTGTGTGTGTGGTCGTGGTGGTGGTGGTGCACGTTGTGTGTGCGTGGTCGTGGTGGTGGTGGTGCACGTTGTGTGTGCGGTCGTGGTGGTGGTGCACGTTGTGTGTGCGGTCGTGGTGGTGGTGCACGTTGTGCGCGTGGTCGTGGTGGTGGTGCACGTTGTGTGTGCGTGGTCGTGGTGGCGGTGCACGTTGTGTGTGCGTGGTCGTGGTGGTGGTGCACGTTGTGTGTGCGGTCGTGGTGGTGGTGCACGTTGTGTGTGCGGTCGTGGTGGTGGTGCACGTTGTGCGCGTGGTCGTGGTGGCGGTGCACGTTGTGTGTGCGTGGTCGTGGTGCACATTGTGTGTGCGTGGTCGTGGTGGCGGTGCACGTTGTGTGCACGTGGTCGTGGTGGCGGTGCACGTTGTGTGTGAGTGGTCGTGGTGGCGGTGCACGTTGTGTGTGGTGTCGCGGTTCGCGCGCTGCCTTACGAATCCGGTGACCCCGGTTCGATTCCCGCTCGCAGCCAACATCGGTGATGAATATATTAAGGCCTCCCCTATGATGACTCGGCCTCAAATGAGTAACTGGTGCGGTGTGTAAACATCACCACTGGGGAGACAAAGGCGGCCGGGCGTCGTGCCGTGACGGCCTTCATAGGTGCTCGCTAACAGCACTCGCCCCGACAGTCTGTTCAGTCTCTACGGGGGGTCTTTTTGCATGGCCTTGTGCGTGGCACATCCTTACGAGCTCGGATGGCTACGTACGGCGCGAAAGAATTTCAACGTGCGCTTGGTGTCGCTCGTCGAGCCGGCGGCTAAGGTGCCCGCCTGCCCCCCTCCCGGTGTTTGCCCAGAAGAGCCTCGCTTGAATCGCGAGACTCTTTTCCGCGAGGGTCCCGCTACGTTGGCATTGTCTGACGGTTCTCCTGTGAGTTTTCTCAGCCGTGGGTGACGTCTGCCGTGCGTCGGGGAAGTTTTTGAAAATTCAAGCGTTTTTATCTCAGTCGACGGCGGCTGCGGGTCCAAGTAAAGTCACCGAGCGTGACGGTGACTACTCGCGTTCCTAACACGGAGCCGCCAAGTGCCTTCGGTAGCAACTCGAGACTAGCAGCCAGAACCCGGCATCGTATGCGCCGAATTGCGGCGCTCGTACGCTTGGCGCGAGGGGAGCCGCTCGCGAATCGCCCCTTTGCTTCGCTGTGCCTCTGCCCCAGACAAACGACTCAACTCCGTTGCATCTGGCCGCGGCTGGGGGCTACGCGGAGGTGGTCAAGGTGCTGCTGGCAGCTGGAGCCGCTGCGTCGGAAGAAAACTCCGTACGTGTGTCTCACTCAGGCCGCGCTGGCTCTGCCTACCCCACTGCACGCATATCCTCCGATTAGCACGGTTGGCTACGTACGGTGCAAAAGAAGTTCAACGTATATGCATGCATTGTGGGAATTGGTGCCGCCGATTCAAACGAACGGTCTACCTACGTGACTTTACCGAAAGAACCAAAGAGTATGGATTCCTGCAGTCATGAAAGCTTCAAATCAAGATACTATGATAATATATGCATTGTCCTTGACTGCAGGTATTGTGGTTAATGCAGTAACATGAATCCTCGTAAAAAGGTTTCAGTTTTGTTGCCAGAAAAAAGGGGGAAAACCCCCTATTATTACATTTTGGTAATGGCAAAGGAGGTCTAATGATCAAGATTGATCTCATTGAATCACTCGATGACCTCCAAGCACCTTACTCGTTAAAAAAAGCTTTTTTTAAACGTTCGCATTGTGACCGCTCTCTAAATACGACAGAGTGGCGCGTTGGTTCAGCTGCCGTTCGGTCGCATGCAAGACCTTTTGTTTGCGTTTTGTAAACATCCGTTCATGGAAACGCACGGACGCTAAAAAGCTCTTTTTTTACTGAGAGGTTTAAAGGGCAATGCTGCCCATGGCTCGGTTGTGGACAATGCTGAGATCTCGGATTTAAATCTGGACAGCCACTTGGGAAATAGATGATTGCTGCGAGTTGAAATACTTAAATCAGACACCAGCAAGAGCTGCATGTTAAAAAATTTTGAAACTTGAATTCGATTGAGCAGTGGTGTACGAGAACTAACGCGATTCTCGTTCGCCCTCATCATTAACATTGATTTGTAACCGAAAACATGCCCCAGGTTAATGGTTTGAGCTGTGTCTTGTGCTAACAAAAAATGTGCTTCATTTCACTGAATCTAGCCCTGCTCTAATAGTTTAATTGTTTATAATCATTGCTGCAACATGTGTACTGTTTATAGAGACTACTGCTGCAGTGACGTGTGCTGGTTCCATACAGAATCAGAATATGTATTGATACTGGAGGAACCCGATGAGCTCTAAAGCTCTTTTTCACTGGTGTCCAATTCGTACAACGACTTCACCCGCAATTGTATTTGACGCATGTCCGTGCCCGTTCACAGTACGAGTGCAGAAATCGCCCACCACCCGTTGTGATGTTTCCGTAACTTTATTTCCTTGTGAGCGATTTTTAAAAGCAAACTGATAACGAGCACGACTTTCGTAGGATTAATTTGATTTAATATCGACTAATGCCTGTGAACTGCTTTTCGATTTATTCCGTGACGCGGATGTTTCTTGCACGCATTTCTATTCGCTTCATTGTTTTGCAACTTGTGTGTGTTTCTTAAAAGTTTTTTTTTTTTTTTAACCCAGTGTCACTCTCGCAAAATGCCCACTCCCCTTCTCCCTCGAGTTCTCGCCCGATTCAATCGAAATAAACTTCTAAACTTCGGGGTTAAAATGCACTGATTTAAGTGACGCCAGAAGCAATTCTGCCAGCATCGTCATCATCATCATCATCATCTTGTGGGGCCATTCCTTGACTCGATGAATCAGTTCCGATAGTGCACATTTAACGTGCAGCAATGGGCGATAAGAGGCCATGTTCTTACCACAACAACCTTTCGGCATTCAACAGTCTGCCTGCAATGCACAGCGTTGGCAAGTGTTGCCAATTGTTAAACCGTGGTTATGCTTCAATGTAACAGTGGCTCTGCTCGTACTGCAGGAAGGCATGGCTACATTGCATCTGGCAGCGAAAAACGGACACGTCAACGTGCTGGAAGCCGTCAAAGACAACGTTTCTTTCAAAGCTACGAGTACCAAGGTGAGGTTCACCAGCAACGTCGATGCACCCACTGCTTAGGCTCTCGGCAAAATATCCACGTCGTTGCATTCGGCATAATCATCTGCTCAAATCGGATTTGCGTTTGCGGTGGTGCCGCGGTTAGCGCGCTACTCTACGTACCTGGCGACCTTAGTTTGAGTGCCGCTCACAGCCAACGCCAGTGCAACTAGACCAGTGATTGGCCACCCCTAGATTAATCTAGCTTTAAGTAAGTAGAGTACCTGCAACCGTGTTTAAACATCAGCCTCGGGGAGACAAAGGTGGCCGTGTCGGCCTTCGTAGGTGCTCGCTAACAGCACTTGTCCCAACAGCCTATGTAGACCGCACGGGGGATGTTTGTCTTATTGTGCACGCATGCTGGTGGGTAACCACGTGTGCATTGTGTGCGGTGTGTATGGAGAGAGGATATTTAGTGGTTTGCACATTGAACTACGATTCGAGCACCTCAGATGCAGTTGGATTCCTAGCCTGGCGTGCACACTAGTGGCAAATGGTATTTCAACATTTCCGGGAGGGACATAACGTAGGTTGTCTGAGTATAAAATGGGTGCCCATTATGATGTGATTAAGATTCGTATGTTTATTGCCCCAGCAGTTTAAAACCCTAAACATTGGGATATTTATTTTGGTCATTCATTATGCTTTTAGCGAACTTAGTATTCCTGAAATCATGTCGTGCTATACGCAATATGTTGTGTGTTGCATATATTATCACCATAAGACCATGTCGAAAATGTATTTTTACTTACATTATATTAGATGTAGTCGTAGGTGATGTGGCTTACAATTAGACAATTGAAGCAATTGGCGGGACCCCGGGGTCCCATCACTGCCCCGGGGTGGGAAAACCCGCGTAGCGACACGAGTCTTGTCGCCTTACCGACAACAAAACTAGTGTCAATCGATTCGCCTCGTCGAGAGCTACTCGGGGCACTAAGTTTCGTAAAAAGTTGAAAAATTACACAAACACGTTAAATTCACTGCGGGGGCGGGCTCGCCTTGGCAAAGAAGCTGAGGATCGACGGCTGACCGGAGGGCGTTGTCGCCGCGTGCGACTGCGGCGGACGCCCCCCGGGCTTGTGTTTGGCCGGTGGGGTGGCGCCCATCGTGTTGATCGCCGCCTGCTGGCGCTTGTTGGTGCGAGTCTGGGCGGGCGGCGCGTTGCTGTCGGGATCAAGAGTGGGCGGACTGAAAAATAATAATTATTGACCTGATTTTTGCGGGACCCCGGGATCCCGCCAAATGATTCAATTGTGAGATCATACCTGGTCACAGGGGAAGACTCAGCCCATTATCTCTTCAGAGTGAATTAAATAAGTACCATTTTCTTTTTGCTGCAGATAACAGTGGTTGTTCTATGAATATATATTGGGCCCCCTGCCACAGGACTAGGGACTTCACACGACTGGCTCAGGACTGCCAGTAGAGTTGAGCGTAGGCATCAAGTAACACTTTGACTTTTTCACCTCCTTATCGCTGGCACATCATCGGAGCTGAGCCAGCGCCTTGTGCCCACTGGCTGTTTGCCGTGCCGAGCTGGACCCAAAACCGCGATCAGCCGGCCTCACAAGACGAGATATGAATCTTGCTTGGGGCTTAGAAGGGCACGGGGGCGTCAAGGGGTAGCGCTAACGACGCCATTTCATCGTCTGCGACGCCACGTCAGCACGGACGCAAACACACCGTCGTCACCGTGCCACCCGTGGGCTCCAGAGGGAAGGAACAAGCACGCGGCCCCGACACGGTTTGGTTGCAAGTCGGGCAAAGGGGATTTCGAGTGATGACGTTGAACGTGGTTTCTAAAACGCTGTCCATTAGGGGACGTCCGTAAATGACGTCACGCGATTTTGGACGAGTTTTGACTCCCCCCCCGCCCCCCCCCTTCGTCACACGGCGTCACAAAAAGTCAGACCCCCCCCCTCAAATATGACGTCACAAAGCTCTGCCCCCCCCCCCAAAAAAAAATTATAAAACATGCTTCAAATCGCTTTAAACTATTGTCATTGTAGTGCGTATTTAATGTGGCGCTGCACTCTGATGTTGTAGGAGAAAACATTTATTAAAAAGTCTATTTAATTAAGTAGAACGTGTTGTCTATATTTATTTAAAGTTGCGCATTTTGATGTGACGTCACATTTCTCAATCCACCCCCCCCCCCCCCGTCGTCACACATCGTCACAAATGTCTGACCCCTCCCCCCGCCTAGGTGCGTGACGTCATTCATGGACGGCCCCTTAACAGATCCCCGTGTTTCCTACCCTCCGCGTGTCGCGCCGTACAGACCGGGATGACAGCGTTGCACGTGGCCGCTCACTTTGGACAAATAGACATTGTGCGGGAGATGCTGACCAAGGTGCCGGCAACCGTACAGAGCCAGCCGCCAAAGGTGTCTCTGGACGCGTCGTCGTCATCGTCGTCGTCATCCAAGGAGCACTTGCACGAGGTAGGGCGGCGATCATGGCCCAAATATCATCATAACGAGCATATCACGTCGCCGCATGGGAACATGCACGAACAGGCATACGAGAACACGCACGCACACCAAAGCGGCGATGACATCATCACGGCGCTTGTGCCAGGCTATGTGCACTTAAAGGCCGCCACGTGAGGTGTCGAACTCCCGCTGGCAGTAGGTCACGGGACAGACCCAGGTGCCATGGGTTGACTGACTGGCACGCACAACTCATAATTACACACACAAACATACAGAAACGTGCTCGCACACGCGTACAGTTACACACACATACACAACCAGCAACATGCACGCACATGCACCGTTGTCAATACAGATCCACTACTGTTATCCTTAACACCGGCTTTGCACCACCAAGGGTGCAAAGCCGGTGGGTGGACTGCTCATCGACGATGGCTGTGGATGTTGCCAAGGCGTTATCGGAAGGCTGAGCGCTAAATTCCTCCCCGCCCCTTCCCCACATTCTCTGTGCTCTCTCTGTGCGTGTCGCAGTCAGGATTCACTCCACTGCATCTGGCAGCGGAGTCGGGGCACGAGGGCCTGGTGCGCCTGCTGCTCAACTACCCGGGCGTGCTGGCCGACGCGCAAACCAACCTGCAGGTGAGGGCCCACCCGTCGCAGCTCAACGTGTGCCCAGAGGGCCACCGCTGGCACGGAGACGGAGCGACGGGATCGGACCGTGCGGCCGGAGCGAGGTGGAAAGCAGCAGGATCGGGCCTGGAGGAAGCCTAAATCCGGCAGTCAATAGACAATGGCTGATGATGATGATAATGAACCTTCAAAACCACTTTTGTAGGCCTGGGTTTATAAAATAAAAAGTTCAAAATATTTTACCTCCGATTCAGCCCGGGGCATACATTTATTTTATACAAAAAAAAAAATCGGTATTTTTTTTGTTAGATGTACAGGTGTGTTTCGGTTTACGACGATCCACATTTACGACGTTTACATGCCACCTTAGATCGATTTACGACACATCTTCCGACACGACTGAACACACTTGAACAGAGTCAGTCTGGCTTGCGATGTGACTTGGTGTGTTTGTGTGTGGATTTTTACCTTTTAAACCCTGTTAAATATGGCTGATAAACGGAAAAATACTTCGACAAGAGATGTTTCTGCCGTTTCTACTGTCTATGGGAAAAATAGGGTTCGATTTACGACGTCGTTTTCAGAAACGCATTGTAACGTCGTAAAAGTGGGGACGGCCTGTTATAGGCTCTAACAGTAGGATATGTGACATATTTGAGCTATCTAGCTATTCTAGAACACCATTAACAGGCGCATCATTCACTCACTCGTGTCACGGCCAGCTATATGTATTCGGTGCACAATTCACAAACGGGCCGGATTCACAGCTGCAACAAGAGGAAACTCACCAAGAGCCAATAGCTCACAGAAAGAGCACAAGAGCATTACCATATGCGGTGCGCAGAAAGAGAGAACCCATTCAAACACGTGCGTTGGATTTGTCACGGAATCAGCAGGAGTTATTTCTTTTTGTTGTCATAAAACTTCACGAATGCTCTTGCAGTCCTAGCTTTAAAGGCGACCAGGGGAGTCGGATTTTCTGAGGTCTAAGGGAAGAGCGTTCCACATTAACGAGCGTGTAGACCAACGGCAAAAAAATGCACGGCCTCCGCTTCGCAGTGGACATTAAAAAAGCTCCCGTGATGCCGATTCGTAAAAGTGTCTGCCGTCTGCCGTGCCGTCTTCGCGGGTCCACATTTGGAAAACCGCTCGCAAAGTATCTCGCTGGGTGAAGCCACACAGCAACGTCTCGACGCCTTCGAGGCTACCTCAGCAGCCTTCGTGATCGACTTGCGCCGCGCGATTGCCAACTGCACTCATGTGCTGAAGATTCGAGAATGATGATCACGATGATCGATAACGATTTTGATTGTCGCTCTCGGAAGCCACACTCCTGATGATGACGACCGATGGCGACTGTGCTGCTCGTTCACACCCGACGACGGTAACGACGACGGTAACGACGACGACGACGACGATGATTCTCCCGCCGTAGGGAGCCACCCCGTTGCACTTGGCGGCGCAGAGCGGCCACACAGCGGTGGTGGGGCTCCTGCTCAGCAAGTCGGCGTCCCAGCTGCACGTGCGCGACAAGAGCGGTCGCACCTGCCTCCACCTGGCGGCCTCGGGGGGCCACTGCGAGATGGTGCGGGTGCTGCTGGGCCAGGGAGCCGAGATCAACGGGATCGACAAGGTACCTGGAGCGGACCTGTCCGCGGCAGGCACGAGAAGAGCGACGCTAAGGAGTCGGGAAGAGTCCACCCCCTTCCATCCCCCCCCCCCCCCGACTAAAATTAACGTGGGGTTGCGTGCTCATCTCGTCCACGTGCTCCCATCATTACAGCGTGATACACTCTTGATCACCCACCCCCCCCCCACACACACACTGACGCCTGTATATTTGGTATGTGCATGTTTCTCTCTCCCCTTGGTCGCATGGATTTTTTCTCCGGGATCCTCCTCCAGTTTTCCCTCCACATTTAGAATCAACGTTGCGTTTCCAGTATTTGGCTGCTGTACATTTCCACAAGCCACTTGATCGAGCTATCGTTTTGTGGCCAGGTCGCTTCTGAAAAAGAGCAAAAATAAAAGTGTTTTTTTTACCGTGATCACTCTCGCCATGTGTACTCTGTTGGGGCGACTCCCCGTGCCCCACCAGTGCCACGGACGTTCGATCGACCTCTCATCAGTCGAAAAAAAAATCAACTTAGACGTCAACAACACTGCCCTATCGAGAAAACATCACATAATATCATTACATCACATAATATCATTACATCACATAATATCATTACATCATCGCAGATATGTATCTCTGCTACCAATGGTTTATTCTACTTTAGCGGAGTGTTACTGATGAATGTGTTTTATTATTATTATTGGTGCTTCTCCACGACTGCCAATGCAGTACCAATTCTGTTGATGTTGGTGTTTAATTTTCCATCGCTCCAGAAGAGATAGGCCATGAACTCGTCAGTGGGGGTCAAAAAAGTTCACGCAAAGCACCCACGAATCACGTCCTTGATACTCTTTGGTTCTTTCGGTAAAGTCACGTAGGTATAAAATAAAATAAATTAAATCACGACGTTTCGGGCGCAACACAAGCGACCGTCATCAGGTGGAACAGATACAGCAGGAGAACTGCTGACATAGGAGAAAGAGCTGCAACAACAAGAGTTTATATCGGATTCTGGTGGGCTCAACATCCTTGATGTCACAATGCGCCCTAAACTGCACATAAATTAAGGGAATCTTTCCAGCAGTGTTTTTGTTGTTGTTGTTAAATTGACGCAGGTTTCCCGACAATTAAACACGCACGGTGCGTCTCCAGATGAAGATCGAGACGTCATCGTTGCCAAGGCCATCGATGTCAGCACGTTGTCTCTTGTCAGTTTCGTGGTGTGATGCTTGGCTTGCTGTAGCAAGACACCAACTTGTAGCCACACCTTCCTCATTGCCATCCGCCTACTGAAGGCTGATTTGTCTCCAGCAGTAAACATATACCAAAAAAGAGTGTCTACCTGTCGTTTTGTCTGCCTCTCTGCCTGATTGTCCCTTGATCTTTCCCCTCATCTGTCTGTCTGCCTACCTCTTCTGTCTTGCACGGTCCCCGCCGTCCCCCCAGCTCGGCTGGACAGCGCTCATCTTCGCGGCCAAGGCCGGCTTCCTGCCCGTGGTGCAGCTGCTCATCGAGAGCGGGGCCTCCCCGGCCGCCGAGTGCAAAGACGGCAAGACGGCCATCCAGTACGCCGCATCCAGCAACCACCAGGACGTGGTGAGCTTCCTCCTGCACCGGGGCCACAACACGCTCCGGCTGCTCGAGGACCGAGAGGTACGGGAGGGGATTCCCTGCTTCCAAACGTTGCTCGCTCGTGGTTGTGTTAATTTGTGTTTACAACGAACACAAATGGCTCGTACAATAGCCTCGTGTATAATACCTCGATGCCGCTGTGCAACCCAGCCGTGCCAGGGCCGTTCCGGACCAGCTTAGAGCACCTCAGGAGGTGCCAGATTATTAAACAAAAATTTCCACTGCAGAAACCGAGCCGTGCCGCTGACGTCACGCACAGCGAACTAAATGAGAGACCCCTGTAGATGACCTCGTGTCCACACTACGTGCTGACTGATGTCGCACGCAATGAATGGGTCATAAGTCGCACCCCAGGCCTTGCTTGGCCTCGAGCCAAATTCAGGTGTCTTGTGAGACGAGCGTATCAAGCAGCCAGTGGAAAGCCCCCTTGCCACTCCAGCCCTGTGCCGGAGTGGCTCGGATGTGCCAGTGGAAAAGGGGTATACTGGTCCCCGCTCTCAATTGATGGTAGGGGTGGCACTCATTTCTGTATGGCCCTTAACTCGTGGTGGGAGCTCCACATTTGCATGACAGAGGCCAGAATATCCGTTGAATATCCACTGTTAATGTCCCACAAAGTGGTGCTCGTTTCATTGACACTGGAGTTTATTTTTTAGCCCCCGACCAGAATTTGCAGTCGCAGCCTTCTGATTGTGGCATGGTATCAATCAGGCCGGTTAGTACTATGGTTAAATAAATCAATTTACAATCAAAAGGTTGCAAATTCAAATCCTGGTTTGATGGTCAACTCGACTCAATGCCCCATCGGGGTTGATAGATTGACGACGGTTGTCTGAATAGTCAACAGTGGTCATTCAATGGATAAGCTGGTCCCCATCACTGCAATGTTGAAATGCCATCAGCCACTTGGAGTTGCCAATGAGGGCAATCGCCTTCCCATTGCTCATTTGAACAGAGAGACTGGCACGGCCGAGCCGTAGCGCAGTTGCCGCTTGTTGCAGAGGTTCGTGGTCCAAGCCCAGCGGTGGACCTGCATAATATTGCACGTAAATTACCTGCAGATTACATAACTGTGAAAAGCCACGAAGCAATATTGCCCCCCTCTCCCCCCCCCTTACTGGCAGATTAGTTCCCATTGATCGTCCGGTGCTCCGCTGACTTTGCGCCACACAGGGGCGGGGGCAGCTGCCACCGCCGGGGGTTCCCTTGCCCTAGGCTGCAGTAGAGCAACGGAACGGTTGGGACGAGATGCCACGTCCGGCGCATCGAGCCGCCGAGCCATCTTTAGCCCCTAAACAACTAAAATGCGAATCCACAAGGTCCTCGCTCACGCGGTGCCCCGCGTGCCACGCTCTCGCCCGCGCAGTTCATCTTCGACCTCATGGTGTGCGGCAAGCAGCAGAGCAGCACGCGGCTCATGGAGGAGCTGGTTCTGCGCTCGGCCGCGCCGCTGGAGACGGCCGTCAAGCTGTCGCGTGCCTTCGGCCTCACGTCGCTGCGCTACAAGGAGCGCTCCGTGGACCTGCAGCGCGCCGCCAAGTTCTGCGAGGGCCTCGCCGTCGAGCTGCTCGCCATGGCCTCGGGCGACCACAGTGCCGGCGTGCTGCTGCGCGCCGTCGACCACCGCGCCACCAGCCTGCTGGACGTGCTCATCGAGTGCGAGCAGAAGGAGGTGGTGGCCCACCCGGCCGTGCAGCGCTACCTCACCGACGTGTGGTACGGCGACCTGGGCTGGGCCGACTGGAAGCTGTCGCTGCTGTTCCTCGCCTTCCTGGTGTGCCCGCCGGTGTGGCTCGCCTTCTCGCTGCCGCTGCGCAGCCGCTTCAACAAGATCCCCATCATCAAGTTCATGAGCCACCTGGCGTCGCACATCTTCCTCATCCTGCTGTTCATGCTCACGGTCGCGTGGCCCCCGCTCAGCCCCGTGTTCCTCGGCCGCCTGCTGCCCTCGTGGAACGAGTGGCTGCTGCTGTCGTGGCTCACGGGAATGCTCGTGTCCGAGCTCACGGACCCCGGCGAGAGGGCGGGCCTCGCCTGGATCCGCGTCATCATCCTGGTCATCGCGGCCATCAGCTTTGTGTCCCACCTGCTCGCGTTCGCCTACCCGGCCGGCACGGACGGGCGGCTCGAGACCCTCTACGCGCGCAACATGTTCCTGGCGGTGGCGATGACGCTGTGCTTCATCCAGTTCCTCGAGTTCCTCACGTTCCACCACCTCTTCGGGCCCTGGGCCATCATCATCCGCGACCTGATGAAGGACCTCGCCCGGTTCGGCATCATCCTGGCGCTCTTCCACACGGCCTTCACGCTCCACCTGACCGCCGTTTACCAGCCCGTCTACCCGGCGCCGAAGAACAAGACGGCCGAGAACGTGAGCGCGAGCGGCGACGCGGACGACGCGACGCGCGTGCAGAGCCCCCTCGACGTCGTTGTGCTGCTCTTCTTCGCCCTGTTCGGACTCGTGGAGCCCGAAAACCTGCCGAGCATCAGCCGGTCGCCCCCTTTCACCATCGTCATCGTCCAGATAGTCTTCGGCGTGTACCTCATCGTGACCTCCATCGTTTTGATAAACCTCCTGATCGCGATGATGAGCGACACGTACCAGCGCATCCAGGCGCAGTCCGACACCGAGTGGAAGTTCGGCAGAGCCATGCTCATCCGAGACATGAAGCGCAAGTCGTCCGCCGCGTCGCCCCTCAACCTCTTCACCAACGTCTTCCAATACGTCGCCGTTTGCTGCCGGCGCAGGGGTAACGCGCGTGCCCGTTTCGCTTCGAGCTCTCGGCTCCTCGCGACACCCGTGTTCGCAACCCGGCCCCCCCCCGCCCCCCCGCCCCCCCCAGCCCGCCCGCACTACCTCGGCACCGCCGTCGTCACCCCACCAAACATTTGGAGCCGCCGGCCCCACCGCCAACGCCGCTTGCCTTCGGCGAGGCCGCCCCCACTCCGTCCCTTGCCGGGGCACCGCACAACTTCACCCTTTCCCGTTCCAATGACGTACGCGCACAGCAACGTACGTTTACGTACGTCGACGGAACGGAATCGGGAGGGCGCGTGGCACAGTTTGGCTCCAGCTATCGTCGAGCGCGGTCGCGTCGCCTTTAGTAACAGCGGCGCTACGCCTCTCTAAAATTAATGGTGAACTGGACCACCCTAATGGAAAAATAATAATGGGCTTGAGCCTTACTGCCAATAAAGCAGGTGTTCAAACACCAAACAGGCACCTTTTTTGCAAGGCGTCAAGTCTGCATTAACCACACGTACTTGTGGCAGAACATGCAAACCCTGCAACTTGCAGGTTTCTCGGAACGGGGCGGAAGGGTTAACGACGCAGCCCTTTGCCCCGTGGGCGCAGGCAAGCTGTGCCGAGCGGAGCCGTCGAGCGACGTCGCGCAGTTCGACGGCGTCTCCGACACGTGCTGCATGGACCTGCAGCGCCACCCGGGCACGTGGGCAGAGTCGCTGACGCGGCGCAGCGCGAGAGTCACGCCCGACGGTAAGGCCTCTCCCCCCTCCCCCCCCCCTCCTCGTTTTTACCACCGTCGCTTATCCATCGCAGCGGCTGTAGCGGTGGACAAAACGCCTTTCGTTTGCCGTCTCCGGCCACCGGCCACGTGGTCGGTACCGATTGGCGCGATTGGCTACGTAGGGCGTGAAGGAAGTTCGACATGCATACGTAGGTGAAGTTGGGTACAACTACACACCGTGCGCATCGGATATTTTGGCCGTCGTCCCCACCAAAATGTTGTTATAACGGCAGCTGCTTTCGCGGGCTGGCTTGGCACAGCCCCGGCACGGTTCGGTTTCACAGTGGAAAAGAGGTGAATGAGATGGCCCTGAACATGTTCTGGCAAAGATCAGTGGCTCCTGCTCCGAGCTTTCCCACAATCAAATTCAGCCCTAATGGGGATGCCTGGTGCAGTGTGCACATTTGCACCACTGTATTGCACACCTGTCCTGATCATTGTCACCAATGTGATCATGGTGATTACGATGAGGATGTTTCTCTAGATTTTGGACGATGGTGATTCGGTTGCACCACGTGTGCCAGAAACTTTCTAAAAATGTTCCTGGAAACTTTCCTGAAAGTAAATAAACAAATAAAATTGCTACATTATGTTGGACTATGTACAATAAAATGTGTATTCTATCACCAACGGTCCGTAAATTCCAGTTCGCGGTAAAATCAACGCATCGTCCCCGTTCGCTCAACAATATGATCTTCACCACGTGAGTATTCAACAGTGGCTATCCCATCTGTACGGTGACCCAGGCCACCCTTGCAAATGACTCATCCTGGTCTCTTGAGTTCTCACCACCACCTTTTTCAACAAATTAAACGTTTCACCACTGGCTCAGGACTGCCGATCGAGTTGAACTCCCCCCCGCCCCCCCCCCCATGCTCGTTCCATTGCGTGCTGCCACACGTACTAAATGTCCTTGATTCACTTCCCCACAACCTGAAGGGTCAGTGTAGCTAAACGGGCCACAAGCAAGCGTTGCCCTCTTCCTCGTTACACCTTTAGTCAATAAAAATCCAACAGAATCTTTTCAATTTGTAATGTCTCCTTACCTACTTGCAACCCCCTCTGCCCTGTAAAGGTTAACCTTGCTCGGGAAATTGTGTCTAGCCACTAAAAATGCCTCTGCCTGATAAAAGGCCCTATGCTCTCTGAAATCCCCTCTTGTCACCCACTAAAAATACCTTCTATTCACTAATAGGACCATTTGTAAGGCTCACTTTTAACCTTGCTCATTTAAAAAAAAAAATGTGTTATGTAATAAAAGGCGATGAGGACAATGATGATATTAAACAAGTCACATTGTGTCCTTGGATTCACGTTTGAATAATTATGGCTGGACATTAACATTGTGAACATTGACATTGAGAACATTAACATTGTGAACATTGACATCGTGAACAACATTGACATTGTGAACATTGACATTGTGAACATTGACATCGTGAACAACATTAACATTGTCAACATTGACATTGTGAACATTCACATTGTGAATATTGACATTGTCAACATTGACATTGAGAACATTAACATTGTGAACATTAACATTGTGAACAACATTGAGAACATTCACATTGTGAACATTGACATTGTGAATATTAACATTGTGAACATTCACATTGTGAATATTGACATTGTGAACATTGACATTATGAACATTAACATTGTGAACAACATTGTCAACATTCACATTGTGAACATTCACATTGTGAATATTAACATTGTGAACATTCACATTGTGAACATTCACATTGTGAACATTGACATCGTGAACATTGACATTGTGAACATTAACATTGTGAACATTGACATTGTGAACAACATTGAGAACATTAACATTGTGAACATTGACATTGTGAACATTGACATTGTGAACAACATTGAGAACATTGACATTGTGAACATTAACATTGAGAACATTGACATTGTGAACATTAACATTGTGAACAATGTCATTGTGAACATTAACATTGTGAACAATGACATTGTGAACAACATTGTCAACATTCACATTGTGAACATTGACATTGTGAATATTAACATTGTGAACATTAACATTGAGAACATTGACATTGTGAACATTGGCATTGTGAACATTGGCATTGTGAACGTTCACATTGTGAACATTGACAGTGTGAACATTGACATTGTGAACATTGACATTGTGAACATTGACATTGAGAACAATGACATTGTGAACATTAACATTGTGAACATTGACATGTGAACAACATTGTGAACATTGACATTGTGAACATTCACATTGTGAATATTGACATTGTGAACATTGACATTGTGAATATTAACATTGTGAACATTGACATTGTGAACATTGACATTGTGAACATTGACATTGTGAACATTGACATTGTGAACAACATTGTGAACATTGACATTGTGAACATTCACATTGTGAATATTGACATTGTGAACATTGACATTGTGAATATTAACATTGTGAACATTGACATTGTGAACATTCACATTGTGAACATTGACATTGTGAACATTGACATTGTGAACAACATTGAGAACATTAACATTGTGAACATTGACATTGTGAACATTAACATTGAGAACATTAACATTGTGAACATTGGCATTGTGAACATTGGCATTGTGAACGTTCACATTGTGAACATTAACATCGAGAACATTGACATTGTGAACATTCACATTGTGAACATTGAAATTGTGAACATTGACATTGTGAACAACATTGTGAACATTAACATTGTGAACATTGACATTGTGAACATTAACATTGAGAACATTGACATTGTGAACATTAACATTGTGAACAGTGACATTGTGAACATTGACATTGTGAACAATGACATTGTGAACATTAACATTGTGAACAGTGACATTGTGAACATTGACATTGTGAACATTCACATTGTGAATATTGACATTGTGAACATTGACATTGAGAACATTAACATTGTGAACATTAACATTGTGAATAACATTGAGAACATTCACATTGTGAACATTGACATTGTGAATATTAACATTGTGAACATTCACATTGTGAACATTCACATTGTGAACATTGACATTATGAACATTGACATTGTGAACAACATTGAGAACATTAACATTGTGAACATTAACATTGAGAACATTAACATTGTGAACATTGACATTGTGAACAACATTGAGAACATTGACATTGTCAACATTCACATTGCGAACATTGACATTGTGAACATTGACATTGTGAACATTGACATTGAGAACATTGACATTGTCAACATTGACATTGAGAACATTAACATTGTGAACATTGACATTGTCAACATTGACATTGAGAACATTAACATTGTGAACATTAACATTGTGAACAACATTGAGAACATTCACATTGTGAACATTGACATTGTGAATATTAACATTGTGAACATTCACATTGTGAACATTGACATCGTGAACAACATTGACATTGAGAACATTGACATTGTAAACATTGACATTGTGAACATTCACATTTCGGGTTGGCTACGTACGGTGCGAAAGAAGTTCGACATACATACATTGAATACAGTGCAACGCAATTCGGATTTATACAGCGTCTGAGCGGAACTGCATCTCAAGACGCTCAACAAAACACGTCGACATGTGCATCTTGCTGACGGTAGTATATATATAGTATATGCATTCTAGTGAGGAGATAGTCAATCATTGGCGGAAGAGAAAGAGTGAGCCTGGACTTGAAGGAGGAGGGGCAGGTTGAATGCAGAGAGAATCGTCGGCACCTGCAGTGGCTTGAACAATGCGTCCTGAACTCGCCTCGACATCGCACTGGAACCCACAGCGTGTAGCAATCTGTGTGTATCAGCACGGCGACACTTGAGCATGCCGGCTGCATTCCAGCACCAATCCCAGATGAAGGACTTCCGTACGGCTACGTGGCTTTCAAAGCCCCGCTTGCATTGGGGGGGGGGGGGGTTACACACACAAAGACAAAGATCCCCCGTGTAGCCTTAACAGACTGTAGGGGCAAGTGCTGTTAGCGAGCACCTATGATGGCCGAAACGGTACACGAGGTGGATGGGTGGGCAAGCACCACGCCCGACCGCCTTTGTCTCCCTAGTGGCGATGTTTACACACCGCACCAGGTACTCACTTGAGGCTGAGTCGACCTAGGGGAGGCCCAGGACCGGTTCAGATAATCGCCACTGGTTTTGGCCGTGAGCGGTAATCGAACCCGGGTCGCCGGGTTCGTAGAGCAGCGCGCTAAACGCTACACCACCGGGGTTACACACACACACGTGCACGTGCACACACGAGGTTCTGCTACGTTTGCTGGACGCGCACACACACTGAACTTGGGGTGCTTGTCAAAGGCAGGGCAGTGTGTTCCAGGAATGAATACAGGCTAAGCTGATTTCGTTAATACAGTAATATACCACTGATCCCCTCGCGTCCTGCTGGGCTACTCAAGGGGTTCGTGATTGCATTAGATGCATGCCCTCTGCGCATGGTGAAGACAGAGGGCTTTGCTTTCCTCTTGCCGGGTTATTGAGGTTTTAGCCTATCATCCCATTTGGAGGCTAATAAACAAAGGCCCACTTCGTGGGGATCTAACAGTGGCCACCCTATAGAGAGCAGCTTCTGCCATGGGAACGTGGAATCTTGTACACCTGCTTGAGAAAAGCGACATGTTGCAGGTGCTAAATAAGTGGTTAGCACACTGCACTATGATGCAGGTTCAACCCGTATCCTTGCACTTTCTAGATTAGTGGCACACAGTCACGTGTCTGCCTTGGGCAATCTGCCCACCAGTGGCACACACACGAGTGTACGCACGTGCGCGTGTGCGTTGCGATTGTACGCACGTGTGCGAGTGTACGCACGTGTGCGTGTGCGTTGTGATTGTACGCACGTGTGCGTTGTGATTGTACGCACGTGTGCGTTGTGCGATTGTACGCACGTGTGCGTGTGCGCGCGTGCTACCCTCGCAGGCGTTCACCGGGGCAGAGGTCAGCACGGACCGACGCGGATCGAGGACGCCATGGACTGGCAGGACGTCGCGGCGCGGTACCGCGCCATGAAGGGTCGGGGCGCCGCTGGGCCGCAGCAGCCGGAGACGCCGTTCCCCCTGGGCAAGAGCAGCACACGCAGGAGGGCGCCCTTCCTCGTCGCCTCGAACGCGCTCAACGGGGTCAAGGCGTAGCTGCCGCGCGCGGTAGGGGAACGCACGCAAGCGGAGGGGCCGGCGGCGAGGCACACCCTCACCGGGCTCGCGACTTAAGGCTACGTTATTGGCGGCAGTAATCATTGCCGGTAGAGAATTCGCGGGTGGCGGGAAATAGAAAATAAAGAAAAGGTGCATTCGTCGAGTGGCCACGGGATAAGTTGGGAGGAGGGCGTCCCCACCTAAAACCGGTATGAATATTTGTAATAACAAAAATAAATGAGAAAAATTCCGCGAATAAGCCGTTAAAATTACCGTTTGCATGTTTGAATAAAGTCACCCCCGCCCCCCAATCCCCCCGAAAGGAAATGAAGGAAGTGCCGAATCTCGCATGCACCTCAAGCCACTTCTAAAAGTTTATTCAGATTCACGATCTCCGTGCCAAAATCGTAGCCTTATGTAGACCGTCCACCAAACGCTCACCTGACCCTCAGCAGACTCTCTTCTGAGACTCTCCACTCACAATCGTCAGACATCGCTCACTCGAGTCGTTATAAAATGTCATTCGATCACTTCAGGACTGCTGCCTCTCTACAAATAAACTCAGATGACAGGAGCAATTTGCCACTCGACTCTTCGAATAGGAATCGACTGCGGGTGTTACCTACCATCATTGCCGTCATCATCATCATCTTCAACTCCAACATCATCATCTTAATCACCACCATCAATCCATCAACATCATCTCACAGGATTCTGCGGATAAACACTGATATTAGGATATACGCCCCATGAATTATCCTATAAATAACCACGGATAATAGGAGTCACCGGTGGCAACATATTTTTTTCCGCGAAATAGCTCCGGATAATGTGGAGCAATTATCCTGCGAGTTCGATTAACTTATGCGGACAGTTTTTTTGCCACATAACAGGATCTTCGAGGACAAAACAGAGTGCAGGGCATCTCCTACGCTGTAACACATGGGCTGCTGGTCGGTCGGTCAAGTTTCAGTTGAGGTCAACTCAACAAAGTGTCGTCACCGCTATCGTCGTCGTCGTCATCGCTTGCTATCATCATTGTCGTCATCGTCATTATCGTGATCATCAGCATCCCTCCTGGATTTTCTGAAATAAGTGGTATCTTTCATAATAACGGTTTTTGGGTTAGATCGCGTTTATTTATAAATGTGTCGTAACCCTCCACCACCCGACACGGCCAATCAGCAAAAAAGTGTCACGTTGACAAAAGACAAATAATTCACTACTTTAGCCCACCGGTGTTGAAGAGTGAATCCACATTTACAGTTCACTCTTCAACACACCGGTGGGCTAAAGTAGTGAATTATTTGTCTTTTGTCAACGTGACACTTTTTTGCTGATTGGCCGTGTCGGGTGGTAGAGGGTTACGACACATTTATAAATAAACGCGATCTAACCCAAAAACCGTTATTATGAATAATATTGGTCGCGAAAGCCTACGTGTTAAACCAAGTGGTATCTTTACAGCCTCTGAATTAACCACCAATCCGCCTGCTGTGAATCAAACTGCCCGGCCGTGTTTGTGTCTTTCAAATTTTAACTCAAACGGCTCGATGACTGCAAACGATGCAGAGATGCAACCAGGTGGAAATTAAAACCACAGTTGCTGAGGTTTGTGTCCTTGGACTCAAACAATTTTGAATAATTACGGAGGTTCTCAAGTGCATTTACAATAGTGTCATGTGCTAACCAATTGTTACAATGAACGTAGCTTACTGAATGTTTAGTTTTTACTTGTATAATGAACGTATACACGTTGGGTAATCCAAATGTTTCATTTTTACAGTTTCAAAAAAATGAAAACTACATGACAGCATAAAGCGTTAAAGTTCGGCTGAATTGCTGAGATATTTCTCAGTGTTTTTGATGCTGAACATAGCCTGGTTAGATTCTAGATTTATGAAGCTAATTATTGCCTGCGCTGTGATCAAATATTGCAATCAAATGTAATTCTAACAACCATGACAGCTCTATTGTAATAAATACGCAATAGGGCATGCTTAACTTAATTGACAAACGGTCGACATTTCGTCAACTTGATATATGCTTTAATATGAAATGTGTTGGTGCGTATAGCATGCAGTATACCCTACGTAAGTGATTTTCACTGTTGAAACAATCTCGCAGTAATCACACAATGTATTATACAGTGAACACTTTTTTCAGTTTTGGCTGGAACCTAAATTAATTAACAGCACCACTTACGCAAGTGATCATGACATTTTTTCACAATAATTTGGATGCTGTCTTTTTTTGTATTCTTCCGGTAGAATGCGAGAGACCGTTCATATTTAAGCACTCATTATTTGGCTGATAAGAATAATGCACATGTATCTGTAAGGCGCCGTCCACAAATGCCTCAAGGATAACACGTTACTACTGGTAGGAACCTCCTGGTTACACCAGCCCACAGGGGATTATTGTGTCCGCCCGTCGTGCATCCAAAAATGGGAGGGGTGAGGTTGGGTGGAGAGGGGAGGGTGGAGAGGTGCTGGGTGGGGAGGGGAGGGTGGGGAGGGGCTGGGTGGGGAGGGTGGGGAGGGGCTGGGTGGGGAGGGTATGGAGGGGCTGGTCACCCCGTGGTGCCCTTATAAAACTCAACGTTTAACCTGCTCACGCCGGCGTGTGCCCGCTCTCACAGTCGGACATATTTGCGGAATACACCACGCCGCCGTTGACCCTGGCCATTGACCGAGCAACCCAACGTTCCGACCAGCTCCCTCCGCAGAAATGTATTTGGTCGAGGGCTGCAGAGCCTTTGGGCAATCGTTGGGACCGGCTTCTCACCACGTGGATTGCTGCCCTCCCGCTCGCCTGTGGTTTACTCCTCGCTCCTCCGAGTCGGCGCTCTCTCTGTCCTGGAGAGCGAGCGAATTCTGTGCGGTGGCGGTGCGCTGCGAGTTGAAATTATGAATAATTATTTCCATGACAGGTCACCGATGCTGCCTTAGAAAACATCTTCTATTTCCGTGGAAGGCCAGTGTGTATGTTGTTGACAATTTGCCTTTATGACTGAATTTTAACAGTTGACCGTACGATTGTAATTCAGTTGTCTGTCAGTATTTCGATTTGTATTCTTGTGATGATACGTGCAACTTATTGTATTATTACTACTACTACTACATAAAGTGGTGTATAAAACTACAGTATTTATTTCCATAACATGATACATTTATTCATTAAAAAAAAGAAATAAATATGGTCACAATAATGTTTGTTTTGTGTGTTGCATTGTGTGTGTTGCCTAGCAATATTAATAACAAAACAACTCTTTTACACGGTAATGTGGGGAAAAGAACGGCGCGGATCTGTGAATCTATTCCATGTATCCACGGGAGAAAGAATGCCGGTGACTGCATACAGGATGAATTTGCCAACGGACTGATCAGGAAACACAATTGTGGATCGAATTGTTGAAGCAATTTCCCACAATCAGGTTATATTTCGAGAAAACGTGCCATTGGTCGAAACGGCAAGTTGAGACCGATTTTCCCAGAGATATGGAACTTTTTTTAAAAATAGATATGAATACAAATAGCACATTTTATAAACTACTAAATATATAAAATACAATAAAAGTGTTTTAGAAAGGTCTTATCTTGATTCTTTATAATGCCTGGTTTATTTGAACTGAACATTTGCAGTTAAAGAGGGAGAACTACTGCAAGCAATCTGAAGGTAAATGAACATCAGTGTCATCTCTGGAGCACTTTCAGCAGCCATATTTTAAGGATGAAATAAATAAAAAAAACACGCTTATACATCAGTTACGAATGCACAGAGGTTTAGCACCGGAGCGCGGAGTCGGGAGGCGCACTGACTGGGCGACTTCCCTCCCGCGCACATCCAATTAGCACGGCTGGCTACGGTACGGTGCAGAATAAGTTCAACGCACGTACGTATGTCAGTTCGTGAGCAGAACCGGCGCCCGAGTCGCCGCCGTTGCCGTAAGTGCGGCTCCGACTGCCGAGAGTAACAACGCGGCTGTGGCGATTGGCGACCTGCCGTGAGTGCGGATCGACGTAAGTTGAAACTACGTAAGTCGAAACTACGTAAGTCGAAACGACGTAAGTCGGACCGACGTAAGTCGAGGAACCGCCTCAACTTATACAGCATTGGGCAAGCTCAGTAGTTTTGAGTTACGTTATGTACACTTAACGAGGCTTTCAATGACAGCCACAATGGGTTTTTGATTCTCGACCGCGGTGAACATCAGTGTCGAATGATATCCGTACCGGTCTGCCTCCCCCCCCCCCTCACTCCCCCACCCCATCGCAGAGTGAGGATGATCAGACAAACCCAATGACTTATACGGCGTGGGGAGGGCCGTCATCCAGCAGTGGATTGACCAAGGGGGGCTGTGCAGTGAATTATTCTGTGTGGCCCAACATCGACAGAGAATGATTGTCCTATGGAGAAACTAGTCACCATCGTAGGTATGTAGAATTTCATCTGCTGGCTCAAAACCACTGACGGAGATGAGCACCTGCCCATCTAATGCTCATTTGGGCCAGGAGACACTGATGTTTTGTAATATTGTGTCTTTTAGACGTTATAACACTGACCTCCGTTTAGCAATAGAGCTGTAAAATGTCAGCATTCTCATGTCAGATTCTCCCCCTGCTCAAAAGTACGGTGATGTTCATCTCTGCTTGAATCTCTGAGCCACTGATGGAATTCCACATCTATATATTTACGATTACATGGCAGGAATGGCACGGAACCAGTGTCGGAACACGCAAACTTACTAAAGCTACACTGGCCATCTATTTAGAGAGCACTATAAAAGCAAACGCTACTTGTGAATGTTGCAAAACGTCAGGAAGGAAAAAAACAAGTCTGTAAATGCCTCCCAGTGCATGGGAACACGATGAGGACTCCATTCACGCGTACGCCTCTAAACCTCTGTGGTCATGAATAAATGCAAGCTTCCTACGGCTGCCGACTGAAATATAAGACAAGTCACGATATTTCTGGAATGTCTCGAGTGGAGGCCCTAATGGCAACAATAGCATTCGGGCCTCCGAATCGAGGGAATGTTTGGCCTACTCTTCCATCGTCAGACATTTTCACCCCACCCGCACGTGACTTGCCAACTACCTGTGGTGCCTCCCCTTATCGAGGTGGGGGAATTAATGAAAATCGCAGGAAAGCCGGTGTGATAACCATAACATCACGGCAGCATGTTTAAAACATCCCCAAATCCATCCTCCTGTCCTAGCTGGACATCATGAGTGATCTGTTCAAGGGGGCCAGGTCTGCATCTCTGAGCCAGTGATGGAAATTCCTCATTCGATATAGTCACATTTACAAGAGACTGAGCACGGACAATGTAGGAGGGAAAGAGGGTCACCCCCGCCCCCCCATCAGAGACAAGAGTTCTGCGGGTACAGAGAGAGAGAGAGACGTGGATAGAGACACAGATACAACTAACGTACTTGTCGCAATTGCCGAGATGTGTACGGATAACATCGCAGCCTCTGTGAATTGGGGCACTGTGCACATCTGGGCTGCCACCTGTCTGGGTTAGACCCAGATAGTCCGAAAAATGGCGTCCGTGTTCACGTGGCAGCGAATTGATGGATGCCAAGATCTGCTGCTATTGTGTTGAACTGCATTTACAGTATACTGCACACTTTTGATAGCACTGTGTAATCACATTTTTTTTGTTCCTGGGTAGTAAGTGTTATTTACTAATTGCTTATGCCTAAAAAGTATGTAAAATGGATATTATTATTCCCCACAAACTTTGCTGTTGTGACCAGGACAGTGATATTTAGAAATTTACCTATTTTCCAGAACATTCCAGATAGATTCAGTGCTGAGTAAATTTGGAGTAACTTCTAGAACACTCTAGAACTTTCCAGTAATATAAATAGTAGTATAAATACAGAGGCCTTAAGCCCACCAGTTAAGTTTAGTTCCAGCTGCCTAAGTGGATACATATCTGCATTTTTCTAAGATGGCATCAAGAGGCTGCAAGCATCTGGCAGACAAATTTTGCTATGTCTGCGGTCAATTTATCAAGACAAGAGCGAAAAAGTACTCTGTGGGAGAATATGCTAAGATGTGTGAGGCCAACAAGGCATATTTCGGCATGCCTATCAGGGATCAAGACAAACCCTGGGCACCTCATTTCACCTGCGAGCAATGCAAAAACCTCTGGAAGGTAAGATGGAC